TTGCTATGGTTCGACTAAGATGCTTCTTTGAATAAATTAAATCGAGTCTCAATGTCACATTCTCAGTTATACAATCAATTATTAAACGCTCACTTCTTACTTATCGTAGGCAGAGCTTTAATAACGAGCGTAGTTTTGGAGAAAACTTCAGCTAAAACTGATAGAAATACAGTAGCTGTTCGTAAAGGATACAGCCCATCATGCACTCACACCCTAGTCTGTGTGAATGCATGATGGACTTTTCTCCGGGCTGAATGCTCCGAGTAGCCTGGACGCAGGAGAACTGTGTAAATTGTGATTGAGGCGACAACGGCTTTGTTTAGCCATTTTTGCCTTTCGTTTGTACCAGTATTAATATAATCACTTGTACAGGCAGAAGAGGGATCCCAGATAATTCAATGTACCAATTGATCGACAAAATTTCCTTTTGGACAACTTCACGAAGCCTGCATTATCGCCAATGAATATTACTTTACCATGTGGTTTTAGCTTATCAATGCAAAATTGTGAAGAAATGCGATCCGTGTGCTCGACAAACATGTGTATTTCCTCAACCCGTCGAGATTAATCTAAGGGAAACAAGTTGTTTCAAACAGTGCATTTACATTACGTAGCACATGCATCCGAAAAAGCGCTTGGAATGCGTAGAAGAATTTTAACTTGAGATGAGCGAGACTACGTCGATCGAAGTCGAACGAGACCGCTTCTTCGTCTTCCGCCATGGAGCACTGTTACATGGATAAAACCTTACCCTCCCAATGTGTAGCTTCATGCTACAGACCCGTATGTTGACAAGAAAACTCAAAACATCAAACAACTGCAACCGTACCCACACAATTGTATGGCAGCGGCAAGCCTGTGTCCCATCCTTGTTGTTCTCGTCGACGGATGTTGTCTGTTGTTTCTTCGTTGCAGTCGAGTTGAGAGTGCATACAGGTGACCCTTTGATCCCCCGATAAACCAACATTGCACACCATTTTTCGACTCCCAAAGTTTCATTTCCTAATTTCTTTCAGATCCCTCAAGGCGCTCAATACCCATGACTGTCGAATATTGGAGGATAACTTGGCAATTTACACTACTGGTTATCGCAACCGTAGCAGTTGCAACGTCTTCAGCGGAGTCGAACGCCGATCTCCCCAACTGGGTGAGCCCAGTCAACGCATCCGAGTCCGCTTGCTACCGCAAGACGTACCTGTCTACGAAGACCTGCGCTACAGGCTACGAGTCTGACCACATTGCAACATGTTGGGCGCAGTGTCCGCTGAACTATCCTGTCGAGTGTGGAATGGAGTGCATCCCGCAGAGTGCGGACTGCACTTCAGAGGTGCTTACCAAGGTCAAATCGGTGGCTACAGTGGCGCTTAATGCTGCCACAGCAGGAGTCTTTGGACAATTTCTCAAGGCGAGTGAAGCCATCCAGCTCGGCGTCAAGTGCGGTCAGAAACTCTTCACTGCCACAAGCTCCCTTGTCAGCTACGTTAAGGAATTACAGACCAATGAAACTCAGAGCCAGCAGTTGATCAGCTTGGTGAATCAGTCGGATCTCGTTGTGAACGAGCTACCTGCTGCTGTGTACACGTGCCTAAACATCCCTGTCAACACCGACAACCTGGAAACGAGAGCTGAAATAGCTAATGTCGTCAAGCAAATCGTTACAACAGCGATCGAGGATGGCACCTCGTTGCTCAATCCGAGCAACTTCTTTGCATTCATTAAAGACCTCGGTGTCGACGATTCTGTCCAAGACCTCGACCAGGACAGTCTGGCTCAGCTTCAAGATGTCCTTACGTCTGGCGCTACATGCGGCACAAAACTACAAGCGATCATCCACAAGGTGACGCAGTTCGTGGTCGACGCCAAAAGCGGAAACCCAGCCACCACTATCAGCGCCATTCGTCAGGCTTTGAGCGTCTCCGAACTCTTCCTAAGTGATATCCCGGCTGTGACAAATAACTGCGTCCGAAACCTCACGGACGATGCTTTCAGCACTCGCGACAGTCTGCGCACAGTCATGAGCACGATCACGGACGGCCTTGTGGATGGCTCAGTGGACGACGATGGGAAGTCGATTTCGACGGTGGACTACCTCGCTAAGGTAGCCGACATGGGTCTGGACGTCATTGCCCTGTTTGATCCGACGGGTATTGCTGACATGATGTCAACGTTCATTCAGCCGATCTGTGGACCCACGGCGTTCATGGGCGAGATTGACGATGGCTCTTTGGATGATGCACTGGCACTGACGACAGAAGGCTACGCTTTCGAAGGAAGTTACGGCACGTGGAACAAGGTTGGCGATGGCAGTGTGACGGTCATTTTCGAGAGCTTCGACTCGAAAGATGTGACCGTGCATATTCACTCTGGTGGCGACATGGTGGCGAAGGTGGACGTGGGAAGCGGCGAGACCGTAACTTGGAACTCGACGGTGAAGGAACTTCAGGATAAGACGTTGTACATGGACCGCTGGCGTGCGGGGCTTCTTGGTCTACCTGGATCTGATGGTGGATCGCTGCTCATGTGGGTGCCGCACTCGTCCGAAGGAGGAAAGATCGTGCTGCACGTTGAGATCCACGACGAAGACGACGACACCAGTGTGGACGGCAGTAACGAAGCAGGCGTCGAGCAGAAGGATGGTAGTAACGAAGGAAGCGACGCTGAGATCACAACGCCTGCCCCGGTGGCCACCATGGGCGAGGACCAGATCGATCAGTCTTCGTTGTCTAGTAGCGGCAGCGAGGAAGATATTACTTTTCCGCCGACACCGACTGCCGCAGAGGATGATAGTGCTACACCTGCGCCAACCACGCTTGGAGATGGAAGCGCAACCCCGTCACCGACGACTCCTATTAGTGTAGATCCGACCCAGCAGGGCAGCGAGGATTCCTACTGTCAAAGCTAACAAGCGGTCTACTGCTCTTAACTATAAAATAAGAGAGTCACACTTCAACATCCGAATCTCAAATCTAATAATATTTGTCTCATACTGTTGCATTCAATAAATCTTTCATCTAATAATACTTTCCGATAAAATAGCTGTAATTCAAACTCTATCTTTCGATGTTTCTTCATAATGAATTTGTAACCTACAATGTCACGCTGGGGCTCGCCTTTCAATCTTTATAGTATCCAAAACTTGACGCCGTAAACGAGATGCCCCAGCTCATCGTGACCTTATTGCGCGCCAGCAACCTGCCCGTGGCTGACACCTTCATCCAAGGCAGCGCCAGCGACCCCTTCGTAACCTTTCAACTGGGAGACGAGTACCTGCGCTCATCATGCATCAACGAGGCGCTGGATCCAGTGTGGCAGCCGGCTGAGACGTTCGAGTTTGAGGTGCCGCATACGTCGCGGAATGTCGAGCGCGAGCTTTTGATCCAAGTGGTGGACAACGACCGCTTCAAGATGGATGACCTGCTGGGGGAGCTACGTCTCCCTCTGTCCACCTTTGAGCGACGTCCCAATGAGGCTGTCATTGAGACCTACGAGTTAACAGTCCCGGAAGCCTTAAAGTCTGCGTCCAAGTGCCCGGACAAGAAGACGACGATCCAGTTGGACATTTGCTTCGCAGAAGAGACTGATGGACAGAAGACTTTGTGTATTTGGGAGAACGAGGACTATGTGGACGGCAAGTGGACGCCCTCGCACAACAATGAGCGTCGTCACTGGAGCACCTTTGACCTCCAGACGTCCTCCGACAACTTTGACCAGGTGGCTCCGGAAGTCCCCGAGGGTCTTGAAGGGTCCGGGTGGGCTTATTCTACTAAGAAGGGGGACGAACATGGATGGATCTATGCGAGTACCTACACGGGACCCTGGTCGTCGTCCTCGTTCTCTACGAGTTACGCACGTCGTCGACTGTGGCAGAACAATTGCCGTCCTGCAGTCGCCTGTGAGTGAGCTAAAGAAACCGATGATGTTGAAGGGTAGCTGCTGTGAAGAAGAAATACGTGAAGACTGTATTGTTCTCATCAGAAAGAAAGCGAATCAAGAGCGTTGCAACTCGAATCGTATATGAACACATACTCATTCCGTCCTTTTTTTTAAGATGGAACATGGTTGTCACCTAGCAGCTACATCTATGGTATTGCTAACGGTATCCGCACCACTCGATTTCTCTACTCTCACGTCGAGTTGCCGGGTTTTTGATCAGTTCTCTTCTACTCGACTTGAAATTCTAGAGTTAATCATCTAAGCATGGTTTGGACTGTATGCTCTCCTTTGAAACGGGGGCAACTATGAAACAAGTTGAGATTCCTGAAGAGCTTCTTTATCTCGCTACCAACAATTTCACGAACCCTTTGCTTATCATGAAAATGTCTCCTTAGTATTTTGGCTGAATTGGCTCTACAGATCTATAGAATAGAATGCCGCTATTCAGTAGTGCAACAACTCCTCACTTTGCTAGAATGAGGAGGGGGCGGGGGATATGGCGTTCCGCCCCTGACCAGCCATAAGGCTAGAAGCTAAACGGTAGAAAATTCAGTGGGGAGTGTACTATATTCTCCGTAGCAAAGCTCATTCTCACTAAAATGCATACTTTGATACGTACAAACACACCGCGCCATCGATCTCGTACGAGTTGCCGGTGTACGTCAGCAATCCCGTCTGCTCGTCCACCTTGAACACGTACATGTCATCCGACGCCTGGTTTGCCACGATGAGCCAATCTTCATATATCGTGAATCCTCTAGGTGTGCGGCCACGTGTACTCTCCCAACCGAGGGGCGCCAACGTATCATCTACCTCATTAATCGCGTAGATTGCGATCGAGTTGTGGCCACGGTTCGACACGTACACGAACTTACCGTTCTTCGAGAGGTGAATATCCGCGGCTGTGCTTGTGGTGGTGAAGTTAGCTGGCAGGGTCGTGATGTTCTGAATCGCTGGACTCTCCAACAGAGACGTTTGCTGGTTGATCTTGTACACACCGACAGTGTTGGAGATCTCGTCCGTGACGTACAGATAGTCTCCATTGGTGCTCAGTACTGAGTGACGTGGTCCAGATCCGGGTGGACGGTAGACCGGCTCGAGCTTTTTCAGCGTCTGAGCGGTTGTATCCAGCTCGTATTGCAACAAGGTATCACCTCCAAGATCGAAAGCTACCACATGGTTGGAGTTAGGCAACCACCTCGTGCTGTGGATATGACCCGTAGCCTGCTGGTCCATGACGACGCGACTTCCATTCGGGAAAGCCTCGTAATACGTTTCGGGTGCCACGGTTCCGTTCTCATAGAGCGGAAACAGGGAGAGACTTCCAGCGTAGTTAGCGACAGCGACGAAGTCTTCGTTCGGACTGAGCGTGATGTGGGCTGGGGAACCGCCCAGCATTTGCTGCGTGTTGAGGAGATCAAGCTTGCCGTTGGCGTTCAGTGTCATCGCCGACACGTATCCGATACCCGTCGCACGGTTGAGTGCGTAGATCAAAGGCTTGCCGTCGTATTTCTTGTTGGTCGCTTCTTGGAGATAGGTGGGGTTAGTTCCTCCTGTCGCAAAGCTGAGCGGTGTGACCGCCCATTGCGTGAGGGATCCATCGGTGGTGTCTAACTTGTAAGTGTAGATACCCTTGGCCGGGTCGGTGTTTTGCGTGGCTGCGAACAGGATCGGCTGCTTTTCCTGTGCGGAGCCAAAAGTGACACCGGTTGCGACGGTGGCAAGGAAGAGTATGAATCCTGGAAGGTGCATGGTTCTGCTTGAGGTGTTGCTTGAGCTGGGTGTGACGAATTGAAAAGTGAATGACTGAAGTGTTAAAGCAGCCCAGGGTTTCTAATTCACATCATTGCTAAGTCAGATGTTGCACGAATAAGTTGCATGGAGCATCACAAATGGCGTTTCTTGGTTTACTGTTCGACAGCAATGCCCGACACTGCGTCGCCAATGTATCTGATTAACAGAACACTGAAGGTTGAATGTGCGAACATTGACTACATGTAGACCTAGCAGTCTTCACAGGCGGTAGTGCTGCAGATCCTGCTGGCATCCTGTTTTAGAATCTAGAATCTGGAAAACCAAATTCTTAAAGGCAAATCAAGTCGAAGTAACAAAGTTGCGGCAAAAACAGCATTCTTATGTTGCACCAAGACCCAAGTTCAATCACTAACAAAGTCTCACTGACGTCACTCGTGATCAGTTTAACTTTTCTCCTAGCTCGACCGTCCACCCGAACCATGAGTGGCCCCACCATCGCCTTCATCGACTGCTCCGCCGGCATCGCAGGCGACATGCTCCTGGGCGCGCTGATCGATGCAGTACGTCTCAAATTCTCTTCTCTCCGCTTGGTATTTGTCATTCCAATGTGTCAGTCGTGTATCATTCGTAGGGTGCACCACTAGACGAAATCAAGCGCGGTCTCGAGTCGTTGCATGGAATTAAGGGCGAGTGGGAACTCAGCACTACTAGGGTCTGGAAGGGACCCGGTAGCATTGCTGGCACCAAGGCGAACGTGGGCTCCATCTACCAACACAAGGAAGCGGGAGCACCCACGCCCAGCCACGATGTGCAACACGACCACGGACATGGCCACAGTCATAGCCACAGTCATGCTCATGGACACAGCCACACTCACAGCCATGGACATGATGATAACACCCATACTCATGATACAGTGGAGGTGGAGACTTCGGTCGATATGAGCCATGACCACTCACATGACCACGATCATGAGCATGAACACGAACACGCTCATGGTAAAGAGGAAGATGAACCTATGCGTAATTTGGACGACATCAAGGCGCTTATTGCGGAGAGTGATCTGTCGGACTGGGCGAAGGAAAAGAGTGTTGCAGTGTTCACGCTATTAGCACAGGCGGAGGCTCATACACACGGCACGTCACTGGAGGAGATTCACTTCCACGAAGTAGGGGCGATTGACAGCATTGTCGACACTATTGGCTCTGTGATCGCGCTGGATCTGCTTGGCGTTCGTGAAGTACACGCGTCGTTCTTGCCATTCTCTTCTGGAACAGTCAAGTGCATGCATGGAGTTCTACCTGTACCGCCACCAGCTACATTCCGATTGATGATAGGCGTTCCAGTGTGCCCTGCACCAAAAGGGTAAGCTCTTGTTCATCGCACTTTGTAATTGAAGCACTTACAGTGTTGTACTTCTCCTACAGAGCTAAGGGTGAGCTGGTGACACCGACTGGAATCAGTCTAGTCAAGGCGTTGGCGTCCACGTTTGGTGAGCCACCCGCGTTCATTCCGACGCACACTGGCGTTGGAGCTGGGACTAAAGACTTTCCAGAGCATGCCAATATCGTTCGCGTTGCAATTGGAACGAAAATCGACCCGATGGCAACTGAAAAGAGCTACGTCAATCCTGCCGTCTCCTTGAGGTCTGCCGAGTCTACCACTTGTCCTTTTGCAACGGAGAAAGTCGTCGTTCTGGAGACCAACTTGGATGATTTGAATCCGCAGGTAATCGGCTACGTCTCGGAGCGACTGCTGTCGGAGCACCACGCACTTGATGTTTGGAAACAAGCCATTCAGATGAAGAAGAACCGCCCTGGTGTTTGCCTCAGGTACGAAAGGCAGCTTTGTATTAATCGTGGTCTGGTGACTAATTTCTATACGACTTTATCATTTATCCAGCGTTTTGTGTCGCGCTGAGCACGAGCAGGAGATTTTAGAGACGATCTTCCGGGAGACTACAACGCTAGGTGTCCGTCGGTATGTTTTCTATAACTTTCATATTTTGCAGTCAGTAAATTACTAACATAAATTCTTGATGTAACGAAAAATAGTAATGTGATGGATCGTGTATTCCTCTCTCGCAAGTTCATTTGTGTCTCGGCTTTCGGTCGCTCTGTGGACGTTAAAGTAGCATTTTTAGGCAACGAGGCTGTGAATGTGCATCCAGAGTTTGAGCATTGCAAGGCGATTGCAATGGAGCAGAACATTCCTTTGCTTCAAGTGATTGACGAGGTGAAAGCTCGCGCTCTCACTCAATTAAAGACAGAAACACTGAACTGAGCACCACATCAACTCTGAAAGCCAAAATTCTCCACTTATCTCTTCGCCATTTGCCAGGCATTCTTGAGCTCGTGCATCCCTGCGCCACAACAAAAAGCGGCGAGACGACCCGGAATGATGGACTGTATCAGGTTTGCAATCACGTAGGCAAACCACGTGTCGTACACGAGTATCTCGCCGTTGAACATGGCGTCCAACGCCTTCTTGGCCGTGTCTTTGGCGTCCGCTGCGAGTCCCGGCAACGTCATGCACACTGCGTTGTCCAAATCCGCCGTCTTGCTGAAGTTGGTGTTTACCGGTCCAGGACACATACACGTGACGGTAACACCAGTCGATCTCAACTCGTAGCTCAACGCTTGACTGAAGTTGGTCACAAACGCCTTGCTGCCACCGTACAACGCTGCAGTGGGGACAGCAGCCGCTCCGGCGACGGAGCTGATGTTTAATACACGCCCGATCTTACGCTTCACCATTTGCGGCACAATTGCGCGAGTGAGTTTAACCATCGCGTGCATGTCGAGTGTCATGAGTTCGTCGATCTCTTGCTCCTTTAACTCGGTAAAGTCTTTGGTCAGACACGCCCCTGCGTTGTTTACGAGGATATCGATGACCAATTCCTTGTCTTTGACGAACTTGATGAGCTTATTGATACCCTCAGACATCGACAGGTCACAGACACACACTAGGACTTCGGTGGGGCGGTTCACCAGCTCAATCTCGGCTCGCATACGCTCCAATACCGTCTCAGTGCGAGCGGCCAGTACAAGCGAATATTTTTGCTCCGATAGCATGTAACTCATCTCCCGGCCAAGTCCAGCGGACGCACCGGTAACCAGAGCATAGCGCTTGAGCTCGGGGGTCGTGGACTCGAACTTCCAGAGATGGTAGCGAGTCAGAGCCAAGTCTAGACTCGCCATTATGAAGTACAGGAATAGCAGCACCCGCACTACATGCACAACACTCGATGCGTCCACGAAGCCCAACGCGAGGACCAACACTCCCGTCAAATGCGCGGGCTTCCACACTACATTCACGCGCTCTCGACGTCTCGGGGCCGACATTTTCGTCACCTTGCCAATGTGGGACTTGAACTACAGTTCCCACTTGATTGAAATGCAAAACGCAAGATACAGAATCTTTATAACTGTGAAGTATCTAGATACCAAATGAGTAGCTTAGGTTCTTTTTGAGTTATAACTGCTTATATCGATATCAAGAATGAAAGATCATGCGTGGTCGACGTGTCATTTTAGATCAAGCGATCTCCAGCTCAAGTGCAAGATGCTGGACCTGTTGACGTACAAGATCTATGGGGCTCCAGCCTACATGGTGGTGCCCTTCGTGATTCTGGTGGTAGTGTATGTAGTGCTGGTAGTGCGCTTCATCATGCACATGCGCGGACTCAACGTGAGCTTCACGGGTAAGAAGAAGAAGATGGCGCTACTGCTGGGACCGCGCAACGCCGGCAAGACGAGCTTCTTCCACCTCATCCGCGACGGCGAACACGTGGACACCGTGAGCTCCATGAAGGACCAAACCTTCCGCTTCATGGTGCACCCCAAGTACAACCCGGACAAGTTCGACGCAGAGCTCACAGTCGTCGACTACCCCGGTCACGAACGTCTCCGCTCGTAAGACACACTGCTGTTCTCTATGATTGCAATATTTGACAATTATTGTGTAATTTTTGCAGACGTGTGGCGGAATTTTTCCCTGTTACGGGATGCATTGCCTTCTTCGTGGATGCCAGCGACGTGCCGTCATTTCGCAAGGCTGCAGAGTACGATGCTGTACTTACAGCTGCAATAGATGGATAGATGAACTAATACTTGGATTGTTGTGCAGGTTCCTGTACGATATCTTTGCAAACAAGAAGGTGAACGACCAGACGCCCCCGATTATGGTGGTGTGCAACAAGAGTGAGGCTTCTGGAGCTGCCAGTCCGCAGGCTGTGCGTGACGCGCTGGAGAAGGAATTGACGCAGCTGAAGACCACACGCTCGTCATTGGAGACGGAGGGAGACGACGACGAACAGGATTTATCTCAAGTGCCTGTCGGACGGGACGGAGCTTCGTTCGAGTTTGATGTGGACTCGCCGTGCGAGATCTCGTTCGTCAAGTGCAGCGTCAAGGACGCCGACATTCACGACGTGGTGCGCTTCATCCAGCAGCATTAGGCTGATATGCTACGTAGGCATCAAGACAGAGACTATAGCTAATGCACAGCGTCTAGTGGTGTTAGTGTGTGGTGTTATTGTTGCTCCACTCAGTGTTTGGAGTCTATTGACCCAAGTTCGCGATACTGTTACCCAGACCATAGAGCTGCCCGGAGTACTTGGCTGCATTCTCGACGTTGCCTTCGAAGAAGACCTCAACCATCTTGAAGAACGTGGCGGCTGTGAGCAGTGCGTCGGAGCCAGCCTGGTGCATTGTGCCTATTCTCTCCACCTTGAGGTCCTCGGCCAAGCGACTGAGTCCTCCCACCTTGTCGAAGTCCATACCCACGTGTTTCAGATCGTACGTAGCGGGGAAGTACGTGTTCAACAAGTCGAAGAACGTTTCTTCTTCAGCGGGTAGCGGGGCGCAAGTCAGCACCTTGAGCAGGTAACCAAAGTCCGATGAACCGTGGAACGAAACCCACTTGACGTGATCGCCCAGCACGAGACCTGAGGGCACTAAGAGCTCTCCGAACCTGGCCACTTCAATACCCTGTTCTTCGTGCTTGGCAAAGTCGATACCTGCCTGCTTGAGGATCTCGATCGAGTCCTGTGCGTACATGTCCTCGCTGAGACTGAACTTGAAGTTGAACTGCCATACAGGAAGATCCTCCATGTACGAGCCGTCCTCGTTGAAGAAAGCCACACCCAGTTGAATGATGCGTAGCAAGTCCACATTGCAGCGTAGCGTCTGGTATTGGTAGTCCGAGGAGGTCGTGAAGGAGCCGATAGGACGTGCCACTACACCTGGATACTCGGTGTCCATGGCCACGTAGCAGCCCTTCGTCACCACCTCGCGAATCGTCTTCATAGTTTCCTCCAGGTTGCTTTCCCATACGTCGCGAATCTCCACGTCAGCGGGCATGGGGCGGGCCGACAGCATGGCGCTTGGATTGTTTGAACTGGTACCTGAAGTTTAGAAGTATGTATCTAGACAACCAGAAGTCTATAGACGACAGGAGTTACGAGAGAACAATTGCACGTGTCTGGAGAAATAGATGTCGCTGGTGGATGGATCAACAAGAGCACGACACGACCTGTACACGCCGGAGCAGAGCGTCACTTTGTCGCGAAGTTCACCTCGTCTTCTTGTTTGCAAGAATTGCTCGGTTTGTGATCGGACTTAATCGAGACATCTTTCGACCAGTAAAAATTCAGAATCAGATTCTTTTCAGCGAATCAAACATGTTTTTCTTTTGACCAATGGTAATGCATTGAGCTATTGGTAATTGACCGTTGGCCACACATTAGCAAGATGCTGTCGCTGTCGCTACTTGCTGCTAGAGCGCGGCTGCTACGCACTCCCACCGCTACTCATTGTGTCTCCATTGCAGCTCGCTCTGTCAGCAACAATACCACTGCTATTTCCACTCAATTCAACCACCTCCTGGTGCCAAAATCCCGTGCATTTTCGACCATCAACAGTCCAAAAGACGAAGATGAAGAAGTCACGGAAGAACTCAGCGTAGATGAAGACGACGACGAAAAGAACCAACCAATCAACGGTGAAATGAGTCCACTTGAACGCCTTATGCAGCACTCGCAACAGTTCCAACTGGAGATGGAGCAGGACGACGATAATGACAATGAACAAGGCGATAACGCTGCACAGGGACACGACGATGAAGGTGACGACCCGTTCACCAGTGAGTGGAATTTGCTAAACGACAAGCAGAAGAACAAAAGCAGCAGCCGCAGCTCTGGTGTCTTCAAGCGCAACACGTTCCGTCGTCGTGGAAACTCGGACCGTCACTGGAAACTCGGACGACGAGCCGAGGGGCATCTCATCAGCAAGGACATGGACGAAATCGATTACGACGCGGAGCTGGAGAACGTCTGGGATGAGGAGCAACTTAAGCAGCGCAAGTTCCACCAGGCACTACGTCGCGAACAGGATAAGGACCACGTGTGCACCAACTGCGGGGAACGTGGCCACCGTGCGAGGAACTGTCTGATCCCTCGCATCTGCTCCAACTGCGGCAACTTGGGCCACACGGCGCGTCAGTGCAGATACCGGAGGAATCCAGACTCAGTCGATGAGTTCTTGTTGGAGGAAGAAGAGTTCCAACAGAAGAGGAAGAAGAGTCAGAAGCTTCGTAAGAAAGCAGCCAAGGCAGCAAGAAACCCGAGCATGCCGCGTCTTAAGGAGTTGCCCACCAGTGATTTGAACAAGCGCAATGAGAGTCTGCGTAAAGAACTGGACGCCGAACTCGACGCGTATGCTGACATGTTAGAAGAAAAAGATCGCAAACGTAAAGAGGACTCGGAGCAGTAGAGAGGAAAAAGGTATCCGTTAGACGCACAGCTAACTCAATAGCGTAATTGCTCTCTCCTAGTCGAGCATGTCCTTGCAGGTTCATGGTCGCTCTAGTTGGCTCCAAAGCCGCCGCCTCCAGGCGTGTACAGCGTCAAGATCTCGCCTGGCAGCACGTCCACCGTGTTCTTACCGCCCAAGTTAACGGTACGTCCTCCTTGGCGTTGAAGAATGTTGATACCGCGAGCACCTGGCGCGCCGCCTTCCAGTCCGTACGGCTGGAAGGCACGACGTTCCGATAGGATACTGACCGTCATACCCTCGAGGAACTCAATCTGACGCACCACACCGTCACCTCCACGGAACTTGCCAGCGCCACCTGATCCTTCACGAAGGTGGAAGGCACGTAGCAGTACAGGGAAGCGTTTCTCCAGGATCTCCGGGTCCGTGATACGCGTGTTAGTCATGTGCGTGTGGATGCCGCTACGTCCGTTCCAAGACGGACCAGCACCGGCTCCACCGGCGATCGTCTCGTAATATCCGCCCAGTGTAGCACTGCCAAACGTGAGGTTGTTCATGCAGCCTTGAGAAGCCGCACAGGCCCCGAATGCCTTGAGGATCACGTCAGTGATTCGCTGACTGGTAAGCACGTTACCGCCCACGACAGCCGCGTTGTCACTGGGGTTCAGAATACTTCCCTCCTTCGGGAAACGCACCTCAATGGGCGTCAAACAACCTTGGTTCAATGGCAGATCTTCGCCTGGTAGCAGGCAACGCAAGCAGTAGATGATAGCTGAATAAGTCACGGCCGGTGGCGTGTTGACGTTGCCGAACACTTCCGGCCCGGTGCCGGCAAAGTCGAAGACAGCAGAGTTGGAGCGACGGTCGATCGAGATCTGCAGAGAAATCCTCGTGCCGTCATCCATGAAGTCTTCAGCACGCACCACGCCAACTTCCGGTAGGTTTTTCTGCAGCGAGAACTCGTGCAGCATGTTGCGTACTGCGATCTCCGCCGCTTGTTGGATGTAGTTCATGTAGGCCGTCACTACTGGTAGAGAGTACTCGACACACAGCTCGTGCATTAGCACCACACCACGTTGGTTGGCTGCGACTTGAGCGCGGAGATCCGACAGGTTGTCACGCAGGTTACGGGTGCCAATACAAGGGCGTCCTTGATCGTCCACGCGGTCCTTTTGTAAGAGGATGTCAGTGATCTCCTTCTCGCGGAATTCTCCCACCTTACCGTCCACCAGTTTGAAAGCCACGATAGCAGCACCTTCTTCCGACAACGTCTTGGACAGAGGAGGCATAGACCCAGGCGAGATGCCGCCGATATCAGCGTGATGACCTCGACTAGCCACGAAGAACTCAATCTTACCGCTTGTTCGGTCGAACACTGGTGTAATGACCGTGATATCTGGCAGATGCGAGCCTCCAGCGAGCTGTGGGTGGTTCGAAACGAGAACATCGCCGTCATGAAGATCGTCGCCCCAGTATTTCAACTGGTGACGCACAGCTTGCTGCATTGCACCCAAGTGAACCGGAAGATGCGGTGCGTTCGCCACGAGGCCGCCATCAGGACCAAAGAGGGCGCATGAGAAGTCCAGACGCTCCTTGATGTTCACAGACACCGACGTACGGGCCAGTGTACGACCCATTTGCTCGGCAATGCCCATAAAGCGATGCGAGAACACCGACAGCTGAATGGGGTCAAGTGGGACGTCTTCAGAGCGCACAGCAGGCTGATCTTTTGACCCGGTAGCCTCAGTAGTAGAGACCAAGTAGAGATCGCCGCTAGACATGATCTGTACCTCCCACTCGGGCTCCACAACAACCGTCGCTGTGCCCTGCATGATGATCGCAGGCCCGCTGTACTTGGCTCCACGTCTCTCCAATAGCTTTTCGTGGAGGTAGACAGGGATCTCTTTCCAAGCTTTCTCTTTCTCAAAGTAGAAATTGGTCGTCGAATGAGGCTTGCACGGCTCGATCACATCGTCGGAAGTAGCCTTCAACACTGGATCCTTCAAGTCAGGTGACACCGTAGCACGCACACGGACATCGTCAATGAGAATAGCTCGGTTCTGCAGCACAAAACCGAACTCGCGCTGGTACTTTCTGATGAAGCTGGCATCGAAATCGAACGCAGCGAGAGCATCAGCGCTAGTGGCAGGGGATTCGCCCTTGGCACCGACAGGACCGCGAGTCATCACAGCGTTGTCTGTGCCTTCGTACCGCATGTTCAAAAAGTACTGCACTTGAACGTCTTCAAGCTGGAATCCGTCTGCAATTAACTCGTTTACGGCTTCGTCTGCGATCTTGGTAAGACTCGCAATCAACGCCTGCTTACTGTCAGCATTGTATTCCGCAGAAGAGGGCAGCTGCTTGTCCACGACGCTGTCTGCCACGCTCAAGCCGTACGCCGAGAGAATGCCACTGTAACGGTGGATGTAGACCTTCGACATACCCAAAGCCTTGGCGATAGAGCAAGCGTGTTGCGGTCCAGCACCTCCAAAGCATGCCAGAATGTGCGTACTAATGTCGTATCCCTTATTCTGCGTCAGGTTACGGATAGGACGGCACATAGCCTCATTGGCGACGCGGAGGAAGCCCGACGCCACTTCTTCAATCGTGTATTGCGCTCCGTTAGCTCCAGATGAAGCGTTGATCTGCTTAGTCAGCTCTTCAAAGGCTTTCTTGGATCCAGCCACATCCAGCGGTTCGTCCTCGTTAGGACCGAAGATCTTGGGGAAGAAATCCGGCAGGATACGTCCTGTAACCAGGTTAGCATCGGTGACACTAAGGTAGCCGTTCTTACGGTAACACACAGGTCCAGGGTGTGCTCTGACCGACTCAGGGCCAACCAGGAACAGTCCGTTCTTGTAGAATAGTCGAGAGCCGCCTCCAGCCGCCACCGTCTGGATGTCCAGCTGAGGTGCACGTACAGTGACGTTGGCTGTCACACTCTCCAGAACGTGCTCAAATTTACCGTCAAAACGAGATACATCGGTCGAAGTACCGCCCATATCGAAGCCGATAACTGCAGGTTGGACAGCAGAAGCCTCAGGTGGACGCGTCGTACGAGCGTAACCCACCACACCGCCAGCAGGACCTGAAAGAATCGCTCGGTGGCCGTGGAAGTGCTTCATTCGTGCCAATCCACCATCGCTCTGCATAAAACTAATGTTCACCTTTTCCAATCCCTCACCAAAGCCAGCACAGAACGATGCCACATATTTCTTGATCACAGGCGTGAGATAAGCGTCCGCACAAGTGGTGAAGCCACGCGGAACAGCCTTCACCATCGGCATGACCTCTGACGACAGCGAGACTTGTGTGAAGCCGAGCTGCGTGGCAATGTCACGGGCCTTCTCCTCGTGTCTAGGAAAAGTGTACGAGTGCAGCAACACAATGGCTACACTCTCCACGCCGTCATCACGTGCAGCTTGAAGCTTCTTGGTGAGATCCTCGACGTCCAAATCCTTAATTACTCGGATATAGTCGCCACTAATTCCCTTCTCGTCTGTTGGGAGACGGTCTTTCTCATTGTTAACAAGCTGCAGACGCTCATCCACTTCAATTACCGAGTCGTACAGTGTCTGTAAGGTTGTAAAAAGTAACAAATATCAGTAAATCTTGCGGACAACAGAAAATGTACCATCTCAACTGACGTCGGGCATGTGGATCTCCAGGTCGAAGATCTTGGGACGGGACTGGTTGCCGATATACAGCAGATCGTGGAAGCCCTGGGTGGTGACAAGAACTGTACGCTCTCCGTTGCGTTCTAGCAGCGCGTTGGTGGCTACAGTCGTGCCCATGCGGATACTCTGGATCTTGGACGTGTCCACAGGCTGATCCCGAGGGTGCGGGACGCCCGTCATGAGCTCCAGCACGCGGCGAATACCCTCTCTAATTGAAATCGTTAGTGTTGGCGTTAATCCCCTTATTGCTGCGTGATTTAATGGGTATATAGGACGTACCGAGGCGCATCCGGGTAGTTGGCCGGATCTTCCGAGAGCAACTTAATGACCTTGGGTACAACGTCCACGACGTTCCCCTGGGCGTCCAGCACGTCCATCTCGGCATACACATCAGTGAAGGTGCCGCCACGGTCGATGGCGAAGCGGAATACTCGCATGTTCGACGGCTTGGGCTGGTTGGGAAGCTTTGGGTGCGCAAAATGCACAATGACGGTCGAGCTGGTGACGCGCAAAAGTTAAACGAATACTGATTGGCCGAATATCCTGGGATTTGCAGGTCAATACGGAATGTCCGTACCCGTCATCAGCACAAGGACAACATCACATGCATAATGTTGGTTGGCAAAGCTGGAGTCGAGCAGCAAGCGTTGCGGGTTGACTCCGGGACGACGACAGCAGTTTGCGCTGGAGAGTTTTTATCTGCATTATAGCGAGAGAAGGCAAAATCATTAACATAAAGTGTACGATTGTGAATACAGGAATTGTAAGAACCTTATTTGTACGACAGGTTCTTGTTCATCGGTTCTGATTCCACCCGTTGAAGAACATGTTTGACAGATGAAGAGCATGTTGCTATTTAAATGTAGGAAACTCAGATCCGGTCTGATTCGGTTGATTCCTTACAAAACAAAGGAATCAGCCGAATCAGACCAGATCTGAGTTTCCCTACATTTAAATAACATCTGATTCGAAGATGCTCTTAAACCGGTAAAACTGAACCGCTTGAGCAGGATCAGTTCAGTCATGTGCTAAGTACAAGTTTAGAACGCGGCTCTTTCAGCCGATCTCATTCGAAACGGCTGGCATACTCTGCGCAAGTCACGCACGACCTTGAAGAGGCGCACAGCATGTATCATCCGACGATATTCTCGCGTAAATAGCTCACGCGCAAGGCCTCAGAAAAAGATCGGCGTGCTTCCAGCAAAGCGTGAGCTCTACACTAAAAATGCTCAAGCGCTCATCGGTCCGAGCCACGGACGAGGACGCGCCGTGCGCCATCAAAGTGGTGGTGCGTGCCCGTCCGCTCAATGAGAGGGAGCTGCAGGCCAAGACTTCCGTCGTTGTGAGCGTCAGTCGCACTGGAGTCCAAGTGGTGAACCCCATAGTGTTCGCCGACCCGTCGATCCTCGAAGCAGCAGGCTCGAGTGGCACTTCGTTGGCTCTCAGTCCTGCGATCATCACAGCCGCGACTACAACGGGTGAATGCCGCACATTCCACTTTGATCGATGCTTTGGGTCAAGTGACCAAATTGATGTGGACGAAGAGACGCAGAGACCAAATCAGGAACTTATTTTCGACGAAATAGGTCAGTCTGTGATCGAGTCGGCATTTCAGGGCTTCAATTGCACCATGTTTGCATACGGTCAAACTGGAAGTGGCAAGACCCATACAATGGTCGGAGATAAGACTGTTACTGGTAAAGGAGTGATCCCTAGAGTCTGTGAAGCTTTATTTCAAGAAATTGACTCTCGCCGTGAAAAAGAGGCTTTAAGTCAGGAGCAAAATGGCGACTCTGGGGTCAAGAGGACCATTTACACTGCTCATGTGAGTTACTGTGAAATTTACAAGGAGAAAGTGAACGATCTACTGGATACGGAGGGGAACGCGGCGTTGGAGAAGCAGAGACCGTCATTTACGACTCAGACACAGAATGTCGATGCTGAAGCGAGTGTTAACAGACGTACTCTAAAAGTTAGAGAGCATCCGGTTACGGGACCTTTTGTGGAGGGACTCAGTATCCGCTCCGTAACGTCATATGCCGATATTGCGGAAGAAATGCTGGCTGGAGAGAAGCTTCGTACAGTGGCGTCGACGCTAATGAACGCCGTATCTTCTCGCTCGCATGCAGTTTTTACGATCACGATCACTCAGACGACGTTCGATCCGATTTCGCAGTGTGCGAACGAGAAGGTTTGTAGATTGAAATTCTGTTTAAATTGGGTTTTGAATAACTTAGTTTTATGTTGGTCGTGTTTAGACCTCAAAGATTAGTATGATCGACCTGGCTGGCTCAGAGCGTGCAAATGTGTCGGGAACGAGTGGTGACCGACTCAAAGAGGGTGCTATGATCAACAAAAGTCTCACTACACTCGGACGTGTCATCTCAGCGCTCAGCAAGTATGTAATTATTACTTTTCACTATGCTTTGTCTATGATAGGAATACTAACACGAATTCCTATGATCCAGACAAGCTGCAGATAGGATTCCTTACCGAGATAGTACGTTAACGTGGCTATTGAAGGAAAGCTTGGGAGGAAACGCGAAGGTGCGTGTAAAACTAATGCATGCACGACACAAAAACAAATGCAATTATTTAACCGCGTTATTCTGTATGACAGACAACGATGTTCGCTATGATAAGCCCGTCTTCAGACGTAAGTTATTTGTACGTAATTCTCTCTTTAGACCGAGCTAATAAGCTATCAATATGACAGAACTATGACGAGACAATGAGTACACTGCGGTATGCCGAGTCTGCAAAGAAAGTGATGAACCGCGCCGTTGTGAATGAAGACAAGAATGCTCGAATTATTCGCCAGCTACGTCAAGAAATCGAGGAATTACGAGCCCAACTTGCAAGAAAAGAAGGCAGTCCAGACTCAGATCAAGTGAGTGCCAGCATTTCCGCTAGTTTGGTCGAGCGTGAATCCTTCTACGCGGAACTGCAGAAGGAGGTCGAGTTTTTCCGCGCGCAACAGAAGAACCTGACTGAGAACCCAGCATCTCGCGCTATTCACTTAAGCGACAGCCTCCCGAGTTTAGTGAACTTGAGCGCCAATTTGGTCCCAGGCGAAGCATTAGCGTATGTTCTTGTAGAAGGAACCACGCTATTCGGATCTGATCCAAACCCAGACATGACCAAGTACGAGACCGTCGAAGTAACTCACGACCACGATACAACGGAAGAGAAAAACGCAGAAAGCACGGAAAAGTCTCCTAAGCCTAAGAAGCGACATGGTTCATGGACTTCGACGATGTTACGGCGACGTAAAAACTCTTCAAAGAGCGCTCCTTCAACTCCTAGTGGCAAAGCGGGGCGAAAATTGGATGCAGCTGAGATCGCCTTGGCGCTATCAGCGGATAAGCGCTCGGTCATGCAAATCTGTAAACTTCCTGGAGGCGATGTGAGCAGAATTCTACCTCGTCATGCTCGGTTTACGTGTACAAGAGCACCCAGGGATCAGGATGTTGCGAGTGAAGAGAATTCTCTTGAATATATCGTGGAGGTCGAGTCACTAGACCCTACAGCGATACTATTGGTGAATGGTGAGCCTCTGGAGTACGGCAGTGAACATCCCGTGAGGCTTCACCATGGTGATCAAGTTCGACTGGGGAAACCCTATTGTTTCCGTATTCACGGTGAGATACTGTATTTCTGCTGTAACTGGTTTGTAATTGTACTCTAACTTTTACGGTGTTAGTACCTGGACATGCTACATCGACCACCAGAATTGCAGAGGCGGTCGAGCAACCGCCTGAGCTGGAGATTGACAAAGACGAAAGTCGAGAGCTTGAAGTGTTGGTAGAAGAAGCCAATGCAATTTGTACGAAATGGCTGCTAAACACAGAATTTTCGGTTGCCAAAGAGGAGAAACCGGGAACTGTGATCGTGAAGAAGAAATTGGAGGCTCAATGCTGCAGTACTGTGCACTGGGACCGCACGATGTTGGAGTTGAAGCTCCAGTTCTTGCGAGAGTTCGCAGCATCTCTGGAAAATGTGGTGTCCTTTACAGTCGAGGAGACTCCAAAGATCGAGGATTTACAGGATTTACAGATCGCGGAACCCTCTCCTAAAGTCGCTGCATCACGGCGTCCAAGTGGATTATCTGAGCTCGAGAGAAAGCCTTCGTATACTGAAGAACAGCACAAGAAAGCTGAGAAGACTCAACACAAGCCACAGGTCCAAACGACGCCTTCGTTACGTCTTCTAGGCTATGGAAGACTGCATCTAGCAGCTCAATCGCCAGGCTCGTCGGTGTCTTTATCCGTCGCTATCTACGACTTCACTGCAGCGTTTATAGGAAATCTTGAAACGCAGTTGGAAGGGATCTCAGAGGCTGGAAAGAAGAGAGGAATTCTGTCACCAAAAGAGCCAACAACGTCGATTCATCGCATTCGGGTGCATCTTGGTAAGATGAAATTTGACGCTGGGACCTTCGTGTCTGCCTCGAATATTTCTATTACGTTAAAGGAGACGACTACCAAGGCTCACTTGAAGAATCCAGAGAACAAAGAATCGTCTGAAGAAGGCCATGCACCCAAGATCTTCTCAACGCCGCGAGTGCCACCAATGCAGACCTCAAATAACGATAGCGAGTCCACAGAGAGAGATCAAAAGACCTTCTTGATCAACGAAAACTTCGAAACAGCCATCACCGCGAAGAAGAAACAGTTATTTAACCAACACACAGCTGAAGAGGAGTCTTTACTCGTAGAAGTGTGGGGATACGACGTCAAGACTCGCTATTTGGCGCCCCCAACGGATGAGGTGAAGGATGCTACAATGGAGTTTCAGCAGGTGGAATTCTACGTCTCTGTCGACGTCGAGGAGCGGGAAGTGGACGGACTGTATCATTCCGTCGCTGTCAAGCCCGACGGAGCGCTACGTCTCCACGCTAACCGGTCTCGACGACTCATAGTTCGCGTGACGCAGTCAGATCAACAGCCATTCGCGTTATCGGAGATCGTGCACGTTCGCATCGCTGCTCCAGATGCTCCTTCAGTGAATCGAACCGCGTCAATGTCGAGAATGATGGGCAAGACAACACAACGGATGCTGCCGTCGTCTCGTATGCTGTTTGAACATCGCGATCAGTCTGCGTCCGGCGAGTCCCAGTCGCTTGAATTGGGCTCTACAAGGTGGCAAGTGCTTGAATTCCGAGGAGATTGCGGCGTTGATAACCCCAGTCGATCGCTCACCGCTGTTCTACGATGGGATCATGCTCCTGACAGTGACCTGGAGCCGATTAACACAGCGGGATCTCGCTCAACATACCGTCTAGCTATCGCGTTTACAAGTCACTGGTCGAATGTACCCATTGTCATCTCGAAAGGTCTAGTCGCTAAGGTCTGTGGCAGCAATGTGTCAGCCGCGCAGAGGTTTACGCGTGGGTTGGTAGCTTCACGTACAGTGTGGTGGGCCAAGGAGAGCTACAGTCGCAGCTATCGACTGGGAACCTGGTACGCCGCAGACATTATGGTCGATGATTCGTCGTTAGATGACAACCCAGCGAGTGAAAATGAGCCTGAACGTGCTGCCTCATTGAACGACGTGGTGATCGCGCATCACATCAGTGGTTTACATCGACTGGAGATCACAATGCAATTGGAACGTGTACGACAGAAAGTGTGGATCATGATGAATCTGCGTACAGAAAGTGGTGGCACTGCGTTGAATGAGCCTTTGACTGCAGTTAAAGTGAATCTGTGCTTGGTCGAGCTCTTCAAACGGATGGACGATGATGTCCAAGTGTTCGAGTGCGTACAATTCGAGTCATCGGGATTTTATCTTCGTCATTTAAGAAAAAACGACCTGCTCATGAATCTTTTGACTGGAAAATTGGTGGATCTTGGAACGGTGACGGGCGTTGAGAGCTCAGCAGAGAAGTCCAAACACTCGGCGCTTAAGCGTAGAGAGCACGTGATTCACTTCGTGTCGGAACCTACTCAGCTGGTAGGCGGCGATCAACTGGGAGGCGAAATGAGTGGCTTTTTGATGATTTCTCTATCGTATGAGGAGACTGCTGCTGCGGTCGTTGCACCGTTAGGCACCTCAGTGAGATCGAAGACGCCTCCTAAAGCTGGTCAGAATGTCCTCTGGGAGCGACAGTGGTTCGTGTTGAAGCGGCCGTTCCTGTACTCGTACGTGAGCTTCGCACGGAAGCAGCAGACTGGGGTCATGGATCTGTCCATGTGTCAGTTGACTGTAGCCACTTCATCCGAGATGCCGTTCTCGTTCCGTCTAGTGTGTGCTGATGGGAGAAAGCAGTCTGCTGTGTGGTGGCTCCAGGCTTCAACAGCTTCGGAGATGCGAGCGTGGCTTGTAGCAATCGATCCACTCAAGATTGAAGCGAGACAGAGCGTTGCTTCCACGCTATCTGCAGCTGAAATACCGGCACTCACAGCGTGAGAGGTGTCGAGGAAGAAAGAAAAATAAGTAAATTGCATGCGTGCACTCATTCGTTAGTTCTCTAGATTACCTAAGAACAGAGTTGACATCATTTTCCATGACTTTGATTTTCATTTTCAAGACGCTTTGTGTTCTCTTCATGAGATATATTCATATCTCATGTTCACCAATTTGGCATGATTCAGATCCTGCTTTGGTGATGCTTGTGGCTTCATGGTCGATTCTCCTTATCATATTGCCAAACCGTAGACGTACAAGACTGTTGCGATGGTTGCATTCTCCCATTGCACAGTGCAAGACCCTATAATACAATCAAATTAGGCAAGAGATGACAACCCAGCGCGAAAATGCATCCAGCTTACCATCGGACTTTTCGTCCCAATACGTGCCGCTATGCATTCAGCGAAAGTGTCAGACAAAATTGAAAGGTACTAGATGAACGAAGCACTATTGTACCTGCCGATCTCGACTCCTGCTCCTTTTCGTTGCCGAATAAAACAAGTCACGATGTACTTGAAATTCTACCATGGTCAGTAAATATGTCAGCCAAAGGCCATCATAAGCACAGGTAAAATAAAGGTTGAAGGTGTACCGGGCAAAGGCGCTTCAGGTCTTCAATGCAAGCACTCGTCACCATGTTGACCCAGTCGTTTGCCTAACAAAGATCTAGCACCGTAAAATTCGATCCCGGTATCAAAACCCAATCCAATCAACCACTCCATTTAATCACCTTGCTGTTGTCGTACACATTTCCCTCCAGCACACTACGCACAGCGTCTTGCACGATAACATTCACTTCGCCCTTGAGCAGGGGAAAATCGTAGCAGGTATCCGTCGGCATCGTTGAGTGTTTAAAGGATCTAAAGTTGCGTGTCGGTTCGCTACTGACGCTTCGCGCCACACTTAATCAGATAAGCTCAATATCAACATGACTGAGAACAGTGGTGAACATGAACCTGCTCCACCCGAGCGCAAGGAGAAGGACAAGAAAAAGAAGAAGGGTGAAAAATCTAAAATCAAGAAAACTCGACGTCATTTTCGAGAAGAAACGCAACGAGCGCGAACTCAAGACACTTCGCAGACACAGGAAGTGAAGCTTGATACCAACCAAGCTGAGCCGGAGCTAATCGAAAGCGCTACCAATTTGTCGCCGTCAGCAATAGTCGAGATGTTTCATCTTCAGGACATGGATAATTCATCCTCGACATCGGTCGCTGTAACTGCGCGGTATCTCGTGGAGAACGAGACCAGCGGTGACTTCTATCAAGTACGCACTAGACGACGCAAACAACACGAGTATATATCGGGGCATAGTAGGCATCGGCGATCTTCGTTGGTTAAAGCGCAGCAGAGAGTTCGGGGTGAATCCACCAGAGCAGAGAATTCCGTTTGTTGGACAATCTTACAGCGAGATGGTGAGAAAGCAGTCGTTGTAATGCTCTTGGGAATCGTGACCGGAATGTGCTGGGTCGACGCTTTGAATCTACGTCCAGGCGGTGTTTCCTCATCAAGAAAAGACTTCGACATCTTTGTGTGCATGTACAGTGCTGGGTTGAACCGCTCGCGGCAGAATCTCTTCATTCTCTTCAAATATCCTTCCCACTGAAGTTATCATGAACTATCGTCGTGACTACAGCTCTTGTTAACTCCTTACATCAAACAACTGTGTTGTGATCAATTCACTTTCGCGTTGATAGGTCTCATTCGGAAGCTCAGTCGGGTGAATCCGTATCACCAATACAAAGCTCTTGAAGGTGGCGCAGCAGAGCTGACCTCGTACAGATTGGTATGAAGCATTTTAATAGGTTTTGCGTACGTTTTAACAATTGCATGATACGAAAGCTTCAAGGAGCGACGGCTTTGATCTCCTCAGCACTGATAGTGCTGCTGATCGGATCTCCGTCGGCGCTTCGATTGAGTCGAGCTCAACAAGCGAACGTAAAATGGTGAGACGTATCTATACGCGACATCGAAACTATGATATTTACGCGATCTGGCTGGAGCAGGTGTGAGGATGTCGCGCCAACTTCTCCACTTTTCGAGAACGGGATTGTAGTACTACAGGTCTGCGCGATTCTGAACACGTTATTCATCACAGTAGCATGGCTGTTAGTCGCTTTGGTACGTTTGAACACCGTTTTGTTGATTTTCTCTCCAAATATTTTACCCTTGGCCGAGCAGAAATGCAGCATGACGATGTCGTCTTCAGCCTCCAATCGCAGTCGTATCGTAGAGCTACAGGAAACTCTAATGGACAAGGGGAAGCGGTTCGTGGGCTTGCTCTACTACATACAGCTCAACACTTGCGCTATAGCTCACTCTATCTTGACATGCTATCACTAAACAGCATCTACAAACTAGAGGGAACAGACCTTGAAGGTTCATCGGCTGAGGAACTCAAGTTGCTCATCCAGCTGCACCAGGTAAGTTAACAGACCTTCAGACATTCACGATAGCTAATACCATATATAACAGCGCGCGATCGAGCTCACGGAAGGCGTGCTCGTGTCGAAGCTGCAAGCCCTGCATCGCCCGACCGTGGCTGTCTAACAAAAAGGATGGCTATATTATCACACGTCACAGAAACTGAAGTCCACTGAATTATAGCCTGCTTGGTTGTTCAATCTTATTATCATTGAACTAGTCCACCTCGATGAAGCTGCACCTGTGCAATTTTACACAAGTTGTGACCTTTACTACGCGTTGACCGCAGCTCAGACTGTACAATATCGTTTCGGTGAGGCCGATGTGCATGACCATGAGCTAAGGTCTCCCGACCGGCAATAGGCCACGTCGTACGCAGTAGACGAACAGGTCAACCACTGTGGTTCACAGCACAGCATTCACGGTATTGCGGACCACGCTGCACCAGCGAGGCCAACGGCGCACACGAAGGTCGGCGCTAACGGCGACTTTACCAGCGTCGGAGGCCGGAACAATCGTACATTATTCTCGGCTGTCGTTCACTGCGCTCGTCTGCAACCTCCGGCTACACGCTGCATGGCCGCGGCGGTGTCGCGATCTGATTTTGTTCAACCGACCTTGTGACGCGGCGAACACACTCCAGCGGTCGAAAAAACGTATCGTCAACTCGACGATGAGGTTGACGTCGCGTGTGCTGAGGACGGATCGCTGGCGGCTCTTCATTTGTCGAGGTCAACACGCGCTCCCGCTTGAAGCAGACAGATTCGCGAGGCGTTGAAGCCGAGTGTCTTTATACATTACCTTTACCGACAAGGTCGAACGCGTTCCAGTCGCAAGAGCCGATCTGAGCGCAGGGATAGTGCGGTGGTGCGCACCGAACCGCGACATCCCCACGATCAGTCTTCCCTGGCAAGTTGATGGCGTGAAGAGAACGCACTGTCATGACTGCCATACGGAGGACCAGCGGCGAGGAACGAAAAACCGGAGATCATCAACGCGATGCGGAACGTGTCGATCGCCACACATCCAATCGCTTCGGTTGCGAACGAAAGGCAGCGATCCTCACTTGCATGCCCCCGTTCACGTTTTCGCGAGATGGAGCCATCCAAGACTAATTCGTGAGCGCGGGTCGCCCGCCAGTTCACATTAAACAAATTTGTAAGATGCACAAGATTCGCTGTTGTCATTGCTAATGCTGGATCAGATTAATTTGGCTTCAGATACCTTTGGTCTTCCAAGAACATGCAACATGTACAGTAGTAGTAGTGCATACTTGGAGAATCAATCTATAGAATGTCGATTGACGATTCTCGTTTGCTCTGGTGCTACTGTAACTTACAACTTCGCGTTGTCTATTGTTTCGACAAACTGGAGTTGCAGTGCTCTCGTCTGCAGCAGGGCAGCTTGTTATGTGAAGCAACAGCAAGGGAAAAAAAAAAGATAAAATGGGGGGGGGGGGGGGGACTTTCAACAAAGCCGTACAGCACTTGTAATCATAAACTCGAATCATGAGAACCTGGATATTTCGATTGCACTGCAACTATTGTAGCGGCACCGCTCGACCTTGGCGCCGCACGACACACCGGAAATCTACCTGTCACGCCTCAGAATCGGATGACCAAATCCTTCGCATGCTGCACCGTTGCTTCGCGCCGGCAGGTTGCAATGTAACATGCACAAATGACCTCTGGGCGGGACGCGTCTCTCGCTGACTAGCGGGTTTTTCGATGCAACGGGGTCGGATCTCGAGATCGGGTTGTGCATAGCGTACTAACATGCTGGACCGGATCGCGATCAACGCTGCGGCAGACAGCCAAACGCTAGTGGTGTTTGCAGAGGCCCGAAATGTAAGCTAGAAAATACAATTTAGCATTTCCTGAATGTCAATCGGGAATTTCGGTTTTGGAAAACGTCGGAAACTTCGGAACACTGACTGACTGACAATCCGCCGACCGCGACTATTCAATACGTGATCCCGCCAACCGGTGCGATGACAACCCGCCATCGGGTCTGGACGTCGATCAGAGGGGCGTCAAAGACGGGTGATCGCATCAGGATCCTCGGTTCTCGAAATCCATGCTGTAAATGGGCGCCCATTTCCTGCAAACTCCGGTCACAGAGTTGCCTCGCTCAAGAATGCAGAGACCATGCATCAAGGGCGGTTGCAACTTCCAGCGGTGCTGCTGCTGGTCGCGAAACAGCGTTGTTATTCCATACAGTTTTCGTATCAACAAAAACGACTGTTGCTCGAAGTCTCAAAGCTGTATTCTCGTTGGTTGTGTACTTTTGTTCGCTTTCTTTTTTATTAAACGGCTCTGTTGCCGTTGTCGTTTCACACTGTTTCTCAACGCCGCTGACTGCACGACAATGCCTACGCAAAGGCAATTGCATGCTTGTGAATTGCAAAGCGCCAACCAGGATGATGGCAGCACTCACCCAATGCTCTTGAGGGAGAATGGCGTGTGCTTCAGCACGTAGGACTACATGAATATTGTTGGGCTCGATCGCAATCGCGGCGGAAGTTTTCGCCGCCGTTGACGAGCAACGTGGGTGGTGGCTAACCCCCCTTAACTTGCTTGCTGTGATCAAGATGATGGATTGTCTACGCTGCTCTCTCCATGCTCCCCGTCAGCCGGTGACCCGGAGCTGAGCACGCTCTGTTCTTTGCACAACTTCCATCACCATCGTGCAGACCACGTTGCCTGCGGTTCAGTCTTCGCCTCTCTTCTCGGGCAAATTTGCTCTTCGGTGAGGACGCTCCTCCTTCAGTTTCCAATTTCGACCACTGCGGACAAGTGCAGTACTCACTCGAACCAGCCAGCCCACGCCACCTCATCATCCACTCAAGCGGCACCCGCCCCACGCGCTCGAAACCTTCGCGAGCGAACCTTACACCCCCCCAAATTTCGGCTGCGACCAAAGAGACGCCTCGTGCGTTTGACTAGAGGTACTAGCTTTAGTTCCGACTGTGACAAGCATCCACTCGCAGCCCAACAAAGCACTGCCCCACTCGACCGCCTCATTCTGGAATCGGACACGTCGCGCCTACTTTTCCACTATCACCACCATGGATATCCGTCGCCTACTGCACAACCCGGAAGACGGAGGTTGGTATATCATCGGCGAGACCAAGAGCGAAGCCGAGATGAACGAATTCCGTCGCTCTCTCAAGCGGAATGCCATCATTAACACACACCTTGTGAACTGCACCATGAACCACGAGAACCTTGGCGTCGACGTTGCGAACACCGAACACAAGATGAAGGTCCAGTGGACCAAGTGCACATCTGCATTGTGCCACCCCAAAGGTAACAACCAGAACGAACACGATGAACAGGACAAACCACGCGCGTGTCCAGTACAAGTGCGCATGTCCACGTGTCAACTCACATTCGCCGGCATCATTTGCCAGGCTTACCAGCACCTGAGCGAGGAGCACGACTCGGCTGAGCCCGTACAGTCGTCCGTTACCGAGGAAATGAAGACGCACATTGTGCGTATGTTGCTGGAAAACCCCGAAGTAAAACCCATGGCAATCTACAAGGAGATCACGGCACTGCATGAGAAAGGTGCGTTCGGCGCCGACCTCATGCCCACCAAGATCCAGCTGCGCAACGCACTCACATATTTAAGAAGCCGCAAGCTCAAACTTTCGAGCGGCAACGCCAGCAGTGGAGGATCCGTGGACGGCACCCCACGGAAGCGAAGATACGATTCGTTCTCGGATGGAAGCGAGTCTCCTCCGCTCGAGGAGCACCGCCAGCCCGAATACTGAAACCGTGGGTATTTTTTTCTTTTTCAACTAGCGTTGCTGACGACGCTACACCACAGCGGTGGCCGTCAACGGGGATCCCTGGACGCACCCCGACCTATCTAATGTGTCTGCCCGCCTATTCGTAGTCGACTACGAGATAATAGGCCCAAGGTCGAGGACGCAATTCAATAAAGGTGCAGCACAAAGGCTGCCAGGTATTATACAATAAGACGGCAACACTCGCCATTTTGTTTGCTGCTTTTTTCGCCCACCCATTGCAATTGCGTTTGGCACGCGAACGTGCAGAACGTACGGTGACTAAGCTTTCTTACACATGTACAACAAGTACCCAGCGCGATGACTACCGAGGGGATCGTCTGAATCAGTACAAATTGTACTGTACAAGCTTAGACAGGATCTGGACTTAGAAGTTTAGCACAGCCGTTGGATGGCATGCAGACGAAAAAACCCCATTAAAATTTGGTGTTAAAGGCGAGAAGGACGTGTGTTTTTTTGGCGTGTTCAAAAAACACTCGTCGATACGCATGCTGATTGGCCGGGATGCCATTCAGACGAAATAAAACTGTTAAATCTTAATGTTTTTTTTTGTCTGAATGCCATCCATTTTACATCTTTGTTTATCGGCCAATCAGATATCTCGAAATATTTTCTCTTTCAATTTTTTTCTGAAAACGTCATAAAGCACTTTTCCTGAAAAAAGTTATTTCCTTGACTGCTCATAGCTTGTGCTTCTCGAAGAAAATATGCTAGATCTGGTCTAGTTCCCATCATCAAGTACATGAAGCTACCTACAGCCTCTCTGTACGGGATCGCTTTCATTTCTTCTTGTTCCGCCTGCGTTTGTGGACACATGTCGAGGGAGAGCTTTACGCTTAAATCCGTTGGTGTTCCAACGGGATACGCATCGAGATGGGAGAAGCGATCCAGGACTTTCGTAGCGTATTGCTCTTGATGAAGAAAGATTGATCGAGTAGTCCGATTGCGGGCAATAGACCAGCCCAGGAGATATTGAGCCTCGCCTAAGTCTGACATCTTGAAGCGCTTCTTGAGAGCCTCTTTGATGTGGTTTATGATGTCGAGCGTGGGAGCAATGATGAGCAAGTCATCAACATACACTAGGAATAGCATGTGCTGCCGTTGACCTCGCCGATGAAAACGCATTGGTCTTTGACGAGCTTGCGAAAGTGCAGTGTCATGAGGAAGGCGCACAAAGCGAGATACCAAATACATGGAGCTTGTTTGAGTCCATAGAGGCTCTTCAGTAGTTTGCACACTTGGTTTTCCTTGCCTCGGACGCGAAATCCTTCGAGTTGTTCCATGTAGATTTCTTCATCCAGAAACCCGTTGAGAAATGCCGTTTTGACATCCATCTGAAGAATTTCCATGTCCAGGATCGCAGCAATCGTCAGGAACAGGCGCAGGACTTCCATACGGATGACAGGTGAGAAGATCTCGTCGTAGTCGATGCCATATTTTTGAAGGAAACCTTGGTACCCAGACGTGCCTTTTAGCGATCAATTTCACCGTTGCCTTTGTTTTTAACGACAGACACCCAGCGGCATTGGAGGGCACGACGTCCTTTGGGTAGTTTCGTGAGCAGCCATGTCTTGTTGTCCACAAGAGATTTGCATTCAGACTGGGACGCTTGTTTCCAATGCAGTGCTTCTGATAACCTCATAGCTTCGTTGTAGGTGGTTGGCTCAGAAATGTGGCGGATTGCTAGCATCGCATATATTTGAGTGAGGTGCGCTTTGCGTTCTTCCGTATCAAGGGTGCCGTTCAGCAGTTGTGACAGAGACGCGGTGTCTGTATCAGCATTGGCTGCTCTAGGTTTCTTCTTTTCTCGGCTGTTGGAGTCTGCAGTGAGTGCATTGGTATTGCGTTTAAGCATTGTTGCTAAGGGTGGTAGGAGGGGGTGTGCGAGCATAGGAGAGGTATTTTCCGGAGCAGGACGGAGTACGTCTGAATCGGTGTGAGGGTCGAGGAAATCCAGTCGAGGGAATGCGTTTTCACGAAACGTGACATCTCGACTATATACGATTCGGTTTTCTGTCGTATCTAACAGTCGATAGCCTTGTTTATTGGCCGGCAGGCCGAGGTACATACATTTCTTCGCTCGTGCTTCAAGCTTCGCGCGATAGAGCTCTGAATGTGGGCATATGAAGTGCATCCAAACACCTTAATGTAGTGGCAGACGGTGTCCGTTTAAACCACTTCTCATGAGGACTGATCTTGTCTGTCACTGAGCTAGGTGTGATGTTGAGAAGATCGGTAACATGTTTCACACATTCTCCCCATAGAGCTTTCGGTAGATCGCCGTCAACAAGAAAAGCTCTAGTCCGCTCCATTAGGGTACGCATGCGCCCCTCTGCTACGCCATTCTGTTGTGGCGTGTACGCATTGGTAACTTGTGTGTATGTGTTGTATTTCTGAAAGACAATACGTCCGAGTTTCTCATATTTACGAGCGTTGTCGCTTTGCAGGGTTTGGATTTCAGGGTCATACATATTGGCCTGATAGTGGAGTTCTCCGACGTCAGCCCAAACATGTTTCGAGCTCGCTTGCGAAAGTCTTCATAGTGTTCATGCACGTCGGACTTGCGTTTGATGATGTAGAGAAACATATATCGCGAGTAGTCGTTTATGAAGGTCAGAAAATACCTATACCCTGAAAGTGTGGGCACAGGTAGAGGACCAGCCATGTCTGTATGGACTTTTTCAAGGGGAAATTTGGCCCTTTCAACAGTACGTTTATTGAATGGGTTACGATGGGCCTTCGTGTAGGTAGAAGTAGTCCTTATTGGAGTCGAAGCTCGAGATTCCCATGTCTGTGACTGTGGTCGCTTTAGTCAGATCCTGCATAATGCGAAAGTTAGGATGACCCATCCGTTTGTGCCAAAGCATGACATTGTCAGTCTTACCGGTGGTAGCCACATGGGCGTCCGTGGCATCTTCGGTCAGGTTCGCGTGGAACTGGTAGAGGTTGGAGTGTTCTCCGGTTTTGGCCTCAAACTTTTTTCGGTGGGCGAAGAACAGAACGCATTTCTTGGCGTTGGGAAAGTTGATTTTGAAGTCGTCTTGGACGGCTTGGCGCACTGAGAGGTTGAACTTGAGGTCTGGTGCATAGAGCAAATTGTTCAGAGTGATGACTCGCTCGACGCCTTTCGTGTCTGTGATACCAAGCTGCACATCACCCGTTTCCTTGATCGGAATTTGGTGATTGCCACCGGCTGTGATGGCCTTACCTACGGTGGGGGTCAGCTTCACGAACCAGTGTGGGCTCGACGTGACGTGGTGAGTGCAGCCCGAATCCACCGTCCCGACTGGGTCATGTGAGCCTTCTCGAGCAGCAAGTCCAATCACGCTCGTGTCGGGGCTGAGGTCGAGGGTAGTGATGGCAATGATGCCGTACTCATTGTCCCCGGAACCGTTGCGGTCTTGCTGGCGGCGTCCATGGAACTTGTTGCGACGTTGGTGTCGCTCGGAGTTGTCGTTCCGGTTGCCTCTGAAGTTATGAAGAGGCTGGGGTCGAGGACGGCCATTGTAGCTCCCTTGGTAAAAGTGCTGGCGTGATGGGTTCTTGGGATCCTTCAGCTTGAAGTTGGCCGGTAATATTGTGCCAGCTTTGACTTCCCCGTTGCGAAGGTGTCGTTGTAGTATGTAGCAGTCAACCGTGTCATTATTGTCACGGTAGCAGTACGTGCACGTCGTCGTTGCCGTAAGTGCCTTGACCTCTTGGGCCGGAGCGGGTGTTGGCGTCATGGCTGGAAGAGCTCGCTCAGCACGGGTTTCTCGTGTTTCCGGAGTTCCTTGCTTGAGAATATAGCGGTTGCGCGATAGCTCATTGTGGTCCTTGGTCTCGATGTTCCTCTTCAGGCCCTCGTACGGAATGTACTTCTTGTTGCCCTTCCACACAGCCAACTCGGGTTTCCACTCGGTCGGCAGGGAATGATATAGGTACAGCGATTTCTGCTCATCACTTAGCGCACTGTTCGTGGCTTCCGTGGTAGCTTTCATGGCGGTCTCCAAGTCCTTGATGAACTCGGTGAGATCCGTGCCCTCTTCGTATTTGAGCGCCATGAGGTACGACTGGATGTAGTAGGGATCACCATGAATGGCGGCCCCCTCATACTTGCTACACAGCGATTGAAAGATCTCAAACGCGGCAGTCTTGTCTTTGACCATGAGAACGTGTTGATCGTCGATGATCTTGATGATGAAAGCCTTAGCTTTGGCTTCGAGGTACCGCAGCTTTCTTGAGCTCTGCTTCTGGCTCTTGGCCTTCAGCTTCTCAGCTCGCGTCAGTTCGTCGCGCTTTTGAGCTGTGAACGACATGATCGGAGGAGGGAGTCCTTGCCCCATGTCGACGTCTCCATTACCGTCTGCCGAGCCGTCTTCCGAGGCATCACTGGACGAGGAGTCCGCGGGTGAGTTACCCTTGGGCGCGCCGGTGGCGTCGAGGGTCGTCTTCACCTCGAGGTTGGCGTCGAAGAGCGCGGAGTCGAGGTCGTCGTCGTCACTTAGTTCGGTCTAGGACTCGCCAATGTAGTCGACCTTGGTCACGAAGTTGAGGAGGTTCTTGCCATCGAGAGCGGCGGTGACATGGGTCTTCCAAATGACGAAGTTCCGGTCGTTGAGGTGCGGAAAGTCACGGTCGTCGTCGGCGGAGGCTTGTGTTGGGCTCATAACCTATGAGAGGGAGGTCTGGAGTGAAGGACTTGATCGATAGAAGGTAAAAAAATTGTGTTTGAAAGTTAAGTGAGGCGGCAGTGGTGACTTACTGTCCAGCCATTTTGGCTATTTGGCTACATTGTGTAACAAACATAGTTTTGTGTTACACAAGTAACCTGCAGCTATGCATACAAGTCAAATAGACAGGTTTAGTGTGGACCATCGGGGGTGGCCAAACGTTACATTGACAATAGTGGTAGTCAGAGTTGGATACAGATGCGAATCCAAAAGAATTTTACCCAATCAAAATGTCCTTGCCTCGTTTTCATTGGCTAAGTCTCTCTTGGATTCCAAGAGAACTTATCCCAGCTCAAGAGCAGGGGTAAGATCGTTTGGATTCCAAGAGACAGTCTAAAAGACGCTAGACGATCACCACGGCGAAAAAGCATGGCACGTGACGACAACCGCGAGGTCAGCGATGGCTCTGTGCAAGATGTAGCGTCAGCCGAGGAGGCGGCGAACTTCTCCGAGCTGGGGAATTCTCAGACCGTTGTTGCAGCCAAACCCCGGTCGAAAAACCGCTCTGGGAAGAAGAAGTCTGTCTTCTGGGATAAAGATGCTGTTATCGAGGGCAAGACGTCGATTCGACTTGTGCTAAACTGGCTCACAACGCAGGGTAACTACGACAAATGGCGCGGATCTGATCGCACCAACGGAAAGACGAAGGAGGCGCTCCTTAAGGAGATTGTAGCAGATCTACACAAAGCCAAACTGCTCCATCGAGATACGGCTGGGGTGAGGGAGAAAATTAACCAGTTGGAGACAGGGTTTCGAAAAGTTGAAGATTTTCTGGCGTGCACAGGGCAAGGCATTACGAACGAGACTTCTCTACGCGCCGAAATCTTACGACGGTGCGCTTACTACTACGAGTTGAAGGACGTCATGACTGATCGCCCGTCGGCCCGTCCGGAGATGACCTCGGATGAGATAAAGGAGCGCGGTATCATCGCTACAAGTGCAGAAAAGCGGGCGATGGCGCTCCAAACCGACAACGAACCTAACAAGCAGTGCAAAATGGCCCCAGTGGAAGAGCTGCTGCTGCAGCAGACAAAAACCTTTGCATCTCGTGAAAGCCAACGCGAACGTGCTTTCGAGAACAAAGCACACAAGCAAGCTTTGAAAGAGAGAGAACTGGCTTTGAAAGAGGCAAAAAATCTACGAGAGCAAGCTCAAGCAGACGTCGATCTAGCCTCGAAGAAAATTCAACTGGAGAAAACTAAACGCGAGAGTGTCGTTCAACTACTACTTGCCAGGAAAAAGCTGCAGGATGATGGAATTTCTCAGCAAGATGTTGACCTCATGCTGCCACTACATCCCATGGACGTGTCAGTCAGATTTGCCGGCTAATTTTTGAGGTCGAATATGTAGTCGCGAAGATAAGCGCGGCGTTGATCACTATTCCTCGAGGACCGCGGCAGTTCGTCAGCCCATTCGTCGTCATCACTCTCTCGTACAACCCAGTCGTCAGGCATCGGGTCACCGATGGCCATATTGTGTAAAATCATTGCGGACTGAATAAGCTGAATAGTGTCTTGCTTCTCTTTTTTGTTTCGGAGTCTGCACCGCAAAGCTTTAAGCAACGGGAATCGTCCTTTCAACATGCCGATACAATGCTCTACACGAATACGGATTTTAGCAAGCTGCGAGTTGAAGCCTTCCTCCTTTGTCGATAGCTGACCACCCCGAATTGTCTTGTACGAAGAAACCATCACGTTTGACGGCTGGTAGGCGGAATCACCCAGCAGATACTCGTTCATGTTAAAGTGTTGCTCTCTGTTCCTTGCAAGTTTGCAATTACGCCACACCCGGTTGTCGTGTGAGGAGCCGGGCCATCCAACATTTTCGTAGCGAATACGACACTTATCATCAGAGACTACCAATCCATTTATTGCGTACGAAGCCTTCCGCGAATAGTAGTCCTCTCCATGCTTTTGAGGGCGTGTACGAAGGGGAAATAGCGTACCGTCGATTAATCCAACACAGCAAGGAAATCCTGAAACATTCTCGATTCTTGCAGAAATCTCACGACGTTCTACCGCGTCAGGCCAGCATATAACAGCGTTCTTATAGCTGAGTAAGGCCTCCATAGCTCGCCGAGTCAGCAGGGATTCTGGGGTATGACTGCCAACCGAAAGGAAGTCAGCTGATAGGCCGTAGCCGTCCAAAGAACCAAGCATCTTTAACAGGGCCATTAAGTGGATTTCAACGCGCATTCGAGGCTGTTTACCCGGCACAGAGCAGAATACGTCATGGTTGGTGATGAGCTGGCACACTGCGGTAAAATACTGCCTGTTCATCCGGAAATTGAGGCGGAAGTTCTCGTTCGACATGCCTGTAAGATAGTATTCAACCCGACACTCTGGTCGCTCGAATCGCTCGCGGCGTGAAAGATACCGCTTGGAGTTGAGCACGAAGTACAGCATCATCAGCTCCTGCTCCTCTTCCTCCTCACTGGAGTCACCATCGTCAGCAATCAGGGTCAGCTTGTTCGCCCATACTCGTCGTAAGGCGGCTAGGATCCAGTACCTACGACTTCGCGTTGGCATTTTTGCGCAGTGGCCCCTCAAGGTCGCTTGATATGAGTTCCCCTTTGGATTCGGGCTTGTAAAGGTAGTCAGGGTTGCCTCGTTGCGGTTGGCTAAAATGTTCCTATAAATTCGAGGTCTGTATCCAACTCTGACTACCACTAATCAGCGCAGGGAAGTGAAGATTCGTTAGAAAAAGGGGGAAAATGGGCGGATTTGTGATTGCGTGCGACAGCTGCACAAACACGGTACCAGATTAGGTCGTCACGATTCCATTCTGCACTTGCACGAGCGTCAATAAGCCGTTCTATCCACTCAAAAGATATTGGCCATAGCAATACGTCGCGATGGCGGTACTACTGATCAAACAGTGTACCCCATGTCGCGTAACAGCTCCTAAACCGTCCACAGTGTCCACGGAAAGCAAAGGAAATAAATCTCCACTTTGAACGCCTACTTATACGCTAGCAGGTCGCTGTGGTTCGGCTTGAGGTGCTCAGGGAAGAGCAGCAAAGGTTGGTGTGGTGCACCCTAACCTAAAATAAGGAATGAGCTTACCCTTCCCGCTAAAAACAGTCCGTATCCGGACTGTAATTCTGTCCAATATTGTAGTCCATGAATACCGGTAACCATTCCAGAGCCGGACACTACGAACACGAATTATAGCCCATTTACTAAGCTCATCTATGCTCATCCCTTGTAGAAACAACAAGGGGGACTCTCTGGAACTTTCGTGGGCGTCTAAGTCTAATGCTAGACCAACGCTAGCGAACACATGCTACTGCCGTAGTCTTTAGTAGAGGCTCTACAAACTTCACTGGTGTTCGATTTTTCAAACTGAAAAGCGCTATTTTTACCACGTTTGCAATTTTTTCGAGAATACTCTTTCATTTTAGCTTTAATTTGTTTTATTTTTTTTTACTTTTTTTAAAGTTAAATCATCCTAATTTGGGTTTAAATCATCCCGAAAAAAAATTTTTTCTTCAGAGTTCATACACGATATTATGTGAATTACACAACTTTCAGGGGGAGGATCCAATACAAAGATTTCCAAGCATCTTTCGACAATGAGCGCAGAGGAGATCGGCAAGAAGGCGGACCTGGGTCCAGAGTACCAGCGCGTGCTGCCTGAGGCACAAGCCGTAGCTGCCAGCGGTGATGTGGAACGCGCATGCGAGATCCTGCTGGCGCTAGAGAAACAGGCGCGTCTGGCGAACGACGTAGCCACACTGAAGGAGGCGGTGGGCTCCATTCTGACTCTGTGCGCGCAGCACAAGCGCTGGGAGCTGCTTAAGGACCACGTGGCGCTGTTGGCCAAGCGCCGCGCACAGAAATCGGGTGCCATCACCGTCGTGGTGCAACGCGCCATGGAATTCCTGGCCGAGACGCCATCCGACGCCGTCAAAATGGAGCTCATCAACGCACTACGCACTGTGGCGGAAGGCAAGATCTTCTTGGAGAAGGAACGCGCTACGCTGACGCAGATGCTGTCACGCATGAAAGAAGCGCGTGGCGAGATCGACGAGGCTGCAACCATCCTACAAGAAGTGCACGTCGAGACATACGGCGCCATGACGAAGCTGGAGAAAACCGAGTACATTTTGGAACAGGTGCGACTCACACTGGCCAAAAAGGATTATGTGCGTGCCAATATCCTAGCCAAAAAAATCCTGCGTCGTACTCTGGAGGAGAAGAACTTCCAGGAGTGCAAACTCAAGTTCTACCACCTCATGATCGAGTACGACACGCACGAGAATAACACGCTGGAGCTGTGTCGTCATTGGATGGCCATCTTCAACACCGAAATGGTGAAAGAGAAGGAGGAAATGTGGAAAAAGGCACTGGAGCACGCCACGATCTTCGTTGTGCTCTCGGCCTACTCGAACTTGCAACACGATCTACTGCAAAATTTGGCGAGAGAGAAATTGACCGAAAAAGTGCCGGATTTCGCCGCTGTGTTGAAGAAATTCACCACTCGGGAGATCATTGGCTTTCCTATGGAGCAGGACGCTGTGCTTAAGAGCCATCCGATCTTTAACCACGCCGAGCGTGGCGCCGGCTGGTGGAAAACTCTGCACACGCGCGTCGTTGAGCACAATATCCGCGTGGTGGCTGAACACTACGACCGTATTCGCCTGCCTCACCTGGCTAACATGATTGGACTCTCCGAAGACGTACGATCCTCCCTGTGTTTTTTATTGTGGAAAACGTGAAACTAACTATTTTTTTTTTTACTATTTGGATAGTTGACGGAGAGCAGCATCTCGACGCTGGTGAGCGATGGATCCATTTACGCCAAGATCGACCGCCCTGCCAAACTCGTTTCGTTCCACAGACCTCTTTCGCCGGAGGAACATCTTTCCAACTGGTCCGGTACGTCTGCAAAACTCTGTCGAAATCGGGCTTATGATATAATTCTTACGTTTGTGTTTCGTGTTTTTCGCAGCGGATATTTCTCAGTTGCTTCGTCTGGTGGAGACGACGTGCCACTTAGTCAACAAAGAGAACATGATCCACAAGATCTAAACTTGCTAGCAGCAAAAATTCACAAGAACTGCGGACTGACGGATATTTTGCCCGGCGATCTAAAAAATCAAAGAAAAACAGTGGCAATCGAAACAACCTGTTCGTGTATTGTCGTCATAGTCTAAACCGCATCAGTCCGACAAAAGAATCCTATCACTACACTCGTTATCTACTTAGAGTAGATTGTCCTCATCTGCGTCGTCAAACTGTCCTGCTTCCGTTGCACTGGTTTCCAGTCCTGGGGACACCTGCAACATCGAGTCGAAGTGCGCAGCCAGTTGAGCTGCTCGAGCCCCATCAGCCACCTCGTCCTCGTCACAGATCCAGCCATCGTCGTCTTCCTCGTCGTCATCCGGATTCATCTCCGCCGACTTGCTGAAGGCATCAAACACCTCTTGCACTACACGACACAACAGCATAAACGTCAGCCTAAAGAACAGCAACTTAGCAGTAGTTAACACCACGCACGAGTCTTGTCGTCGGTAGGTACGAAGCGCACTTCCGACACGTCCTGGTTGCTGATCTGGCAGTACAAACAGGGCTTCGGGAAGGCGGCAGGGTCTCTAGAGATGGCGTGCAATGTAACCGAGCTCATCTCCCACGCATAGCCCACGTGCGTACCCACCGCCGCGCCCAACCAGATCACGCGGCTTGTGGTCACAAACAGCGCACCGACAGATCCGCTGTGTGCCAGCGTTTGCGTCTCTCCGTCGTCGTCCTCGCCCATGTCACTAGCTGAAGCGTGAATCTCCACGTTAGTGAAGCTGGCCAACAGGAACTCCTCATCGTCGCCCGCTCCAGTACGCAGCAGCGGCGCGCCATCGGCGCTCAAGTCCGTAGAGGTCAAGACGTTCATATTGAAAAAGTGCTCAATAATTGGCCAGAATAAAGCAAATAAGAATGTGCTCCAAAACAAATGGGCAAGTTGAAGTGAAAAAAAATACAAATTGTGCCCTTTTCACAATGGTCGTTCATTCTGGCAGCAGCATTACTCTACAACATGCATTTTTTATTTTTGTTTTCTGTAGTCTAATGAAATCATTGCTGAGTCAATCCCTTCATTCGTCAAGAGCTTCAACTCTTCTCTCCAATGACGGTGAATGTCAACGCCAATGGCATTTTTTTCGTTGTCGACATGCGCATCTGTAGCTGTTTCATGAATGACAACTTGAGCATCTCCGACCCATACTTCCTTGCTTGAGCTGGAGCTTCGTGATCGCCAGATTTCGTGTCCTCATCTTCGTCCCTTTTCTTCTGCACTGGCAGTCTGATCGACAGTTGAGAGGTTTTCTCGTTCCACGACCCCTTTAAGTTGATTTCCTGAAGGAATAGTCGCTGCTCTAATCCAAGCTCAAGGATATACACCGTAAAGCTCTTCTGACCCATGCTCAGCACGACGCCAGTCACTTCAACGTCACCATGGTGCTGTACGTAGGCACACAAGAACACCTTGTCGCATTCCTTTTCGGCATTCTTGGACGTCATTTTCTTCTCATTGCAGTTCTGCGCAACCGAGGTGAACTCCACCATCCTGGACTCTGGATTCTCAGCATCTAGAGACGACGATCCCACCACACTCTCTTGAAGCAGGCGGTGCACAACAACATCAGCATATCGACGGATAGGCGACGTGAAGTGTGTGTAGTATGGGATATTCAGAGCATAATGGCGCCACGAATCGGGAGACGCACCATTACCGGCCACCATGTACTCAGCCGGCTTCATGGGCTTGATGATCAACGCTTGCGCGATGACAAACGTTGTCTCACCACAATCTTGTCGAACGCGCTCCAGCGACTCTGTCAACTGTTTGGTAGATCTCCCGTCCACGTTGATATCGCTCTTCCCTAGCAGTTCTAATGCCTGATCCATTGACCGTGATACTGGAGGGGGATGGTGACGTAAGAATGCAAGGGGGCCGTGAGCACGAAGCAGTTGCTGAGCAACCAGGTAGTTCGCTAAGAGCATGTACTCCTCCACGAGACGATTGCTGTCCTTCAGTTCGTAGGATCCGTACCGAGTCGGATTTCCCTTGGCGTCCAGTGAGAACACTAGTTTTACATCATTCAAACTCACTGCACCCGTCTCGAAACGCATCGCTCGACGGTTCTCACCAATACTCCACAAGTCCTTGACACTCTGAATCACCGTCGCATTGGTGATACTCGGGTTGGCACCGGGAATCGGTCGACGGTCCTCTTCCCACTCGTCCACACCGTCGCTAGTGATGATTCCATCAAGCATCTTCTGTGCTGAGCCATAGTCAAGTTTGCAGCATGAGCGGATGATTGACTTACCGAACCACGGCTCGGCACCGTCCACAAGAGTACCATCTACGTTCATCTGCCACACGACCGAGAACGCCAGGCGATCCACTTGTGGCTGCAGGGAGCACAGCTTCTCACAGAGGATGCGAGGCAGCATCGGCAGCACGCGGTTGGCGAGATACACGCTGGTCGCTCTTGATCGAGCTTCTTGATCCAACAGCGAGTTGTGCTCAATAAAGTGGGTCACATCTGCAATATGTACACCAATCTCGAATTTCGTTCGAGCATCGTCAAGCGCACGAATGTGCAACGCGTCATCCAAATCTCGGGCGTTATACGGGTCAATGCTGAAGATTTGAGTGTCACGGAAATCCCGTCGCTTCTGGAGCTCTTCTGGGGGGATTTCCCACTTTTCGCCGCTTGTACCGTACTTTTCGTCTAGCTCGTTTAGAATCGAGCTGTCGAAGTCCAATGTATGCGATTGTAGACCGTGTTTGGACAAAATGGCAGAGATTCCAGTTTCAATACCGGTGTATTCCCCCACTGTCTTCACGAATTCGCCCATCGGGCTTTGGTGTCTAGTAGACCACGCTTTGATTCGACAAAAGCACAGCATGGTCTTTGAATACAGCAGAGGACGGCTGACGAACTCGTCCGGAAGCTGCAGTCGTGGAATTCGAATACGTCTAGGTAGACGCTGGTCATCAGCGTTGAAATACGCGTAGTTGTCATTGCTTGAAAGCGGCGAAGTCAAGTCTTTTACCTTCGTTGCCGGCTCTAGGGATCCGATAAATCCGTTTGAATTACCCTGAGCCAGGATAAAAACCACAGACGCGGTCGGACGGCGACGAGACTCTATCATGCGCTCGTTCAGACGACTCATACTCTGCTTGAGCATATCCGCAGAGTTTTCTTCATCCGTTGAGAGTTTAAAGAAGCACTTCTCAGTCTCCACACTAGGAAGCCAAAGCGAGTGTAAGGCGTTCTGATCCACCCCAGCACTCGAAGACATTGGCTTGGATACAACAGCTCTTCTATCGCCTTCATCGTCTAGAGCCTTCCATTCCGATTCCGGATGCAGTCGAACGGCTACAAGGTCGCCGTCAAGTGCACGATTGCGATCCTGTATGCCCTTTACTAGAATATCCATTGACAATCCATCCACTGTAATGTAGCCATCCATGCGGTACATCGCGTTGACACGAAGTTTGCCTTGTAGAAGCCCCCCTGTCTCCAGTCCTCGGATCACTACGTCACGATCCAAGTACTCCGAGTAAGTCACCTGGCCATTACCACGATTACCTCTGTTTGTCGACTTGGGTTTTCCATCGGCGCGACTTTGAGAGGGAGCAGCTTGCTTCTCCTCTAATTCCATTGTCTCCTTCTCCTTAGCAGCCCTTTTCTTCGGCTTTTTATCATTTTTAGGAACGTTACCAGTGCTTCCCTGTGTGTTGCTCTTGGCTGTATCCTTTTTCTTCTCCTTTTTGGCTTGTTTCTCCTTTTTTGCCTTGCCTTGTGTTGATTTCGCTGCAGTCGTAGCAGTAGCAGCTGCATTGACTTCTTCTTGCTTCCCTTCCTTCCCCTTCTTCTTCTTTTTGCTCTTCTTAATCTTCTCTGTTTCTATCATCGCCATTTCTACTTCAACGTCCTCCACCTCTATTGTCTCCAGGAGCTTCTGTGCCTGCCTCACCTTCTTTGCTGTCTTCTTGGCCTTATTCGTAGTCTCCTGCACGGGTTCTACCGCTGTCGTCGCCTTCTGTTCAGTTTTCTTCTCCTTTTTCTTTTTCTTGTTATTTCTCTTTTGCTTGCTCTGCGCCATACCCACCCGGACATTGGCAAACCCTTCCTCAGTGGCAACGAGCGCCAGCTCCTCGAGCTCGCTCTCTAAATCGACGAGGACGAAGCCTGCGCCTCCAAATGTGTCCATCTCTTCTTCCAACTCATTCTCTGAGCTGTCGTCGAAGCCCGCGATCGCGTCCATGTCCTGCTCCGTCCTCACGTCGTTCGGGTGTCGCTTCTTGCGCTTGGGTTTCGCATCTTTAGGCTGCGGCTTGGGGCTCGCTTTCTTGCTCTTGCTCTTCTTGGGCTTCTGGGCTTGGGCTTGTGCTACTGCTGCTGCCGCCGCCTCCTCACCCAGTGCCTCCTGCCACGAAAGCTTGACGCGCGGACAACCATCGCGCTGCGCCATTTTGGATGCTTTTTGGATTCTCTGCTCTGATGGAAGGCTACATGAAGACCATCACTCACATGCAGAAAAAAACACATAACTTGCGAAAGAAAATATACGAGACGCATTGTTATAAGCAGGTTTCTGTTTCATTTCTAAAAAATACCGAATTATCTACCACTGTACTACGGTACATGTATGGTATGGCATGCACTAAAAGGTATCAGTATGTTGCCTGCATGTCTGTGGTATGATACATTGTGCACGGGTTTGCCCTCGAGAATTACTGGCGATGATGATCAGGAACCTGAGTTGTCTACCCGTCGGGCTACTAAGTAGTACATGTAGTTGGCAACTACTAGGCAAAACGACAAAGCACCGGGTCAACTCCACCAAGACGGCGATGTAACTTCGATCGCGTTTCCATGCCAGGTTGGTACGTTGGGCGTCCTCCGCAACATATAGCAATCCAGGACCAGAGACTCTCTGATCGCCAGTGTAACATCTCCTAACATCTCTCTGAGAGAGATGTTACACTGTTTTAAGCTTACTCCAAACCCTGTCAAGATGTGACTCACCTGCCCACATCGGTGTCAGCAGCGTTGCAGCAACGGTTGCACAGCGCGTCAAGTCAACCTGGTCCGCCATTCAGAGTCTTGTTAAGCACGTTGCTGGTCCCACCCTCAACTAGGGTCACTCGGCGAATCACCGACACCGAGCAGCGGGATCGACTCAACAAAGGAATCGAACCATTCGCATCAGCCTCTATACTGTCCTGCTAAGGGAGAGCTAGGCAATGAATGCAGTCATCCGACTGTCAGTGTAGCACGATGCGACTCAATTCGGACGGTCACTCGAACATGCACCAGAAACTGACCCGTGATACAGGCCTCCACGTACCGTGAGTAGCGCCGCAAGATGCCCCGAGGTTGACAAGCACGCGGTTCCATTCACCAAGCTCATTTCGAAATTCTTGCACTCGTCAGCAACTGGCCTCTCCGACGCGTGCAATAAAACTCGTCATGATGTTCTCCGCTAGTAAAGCGATGTTGGCCATCGTTCTTGCAGTCAGTGCGATCTGCCAGTCGGCTGCAACTACGTCGCGCAACCTCACGTCGACCAACCCGGCTGCATACATGGCCACCACCTACAGCGCCATGCACTCCACGGCCTATCCGCTCACCGACAGCGACACTCTCGACACCACTGCACTCGAGGAGGCCATCAACGCCGACATGGCTTTGATCGCGCAAAGCTTCATGCACGTCCGAACCTTCTACTCCCAGTTTTACGGTGTGGGCGTCACCCAATACGCTGCTGCACACGGTATCAAGCTGCACCTCGGCATCTATATGACTGACGAATCGTGGCAACAGGATCAGATCGACAGCGCTGTGGCTGCCGTCCAGGACTACCCTGGTACCGTCGAGGCCATTCTTATCGGTAACGAGAACATGTACACCGGCACCACGGCTTCCGAGATCATTGCCATCGCCACCTCAATCAAGGAGGCTCTTGGTGACGCTGCCGACGGCATCCTGTTCGGGACGGTGCAACGATCAACTGAGTACCTTGACACGACCTACGATGACCAGATCAATCAGCTGTCCGAGAGCCTAGACATCCTTGGTGTGAATATCTACCCGTTCTTCGACAACAGCTATGACGCGAACAACCCTGCTGCACTGCTGGATGCGGTCTGGAATGCCATTGCCGCCAAGTATCCAGTCTCGCAAATGCTTATGTGCGAGACGGGTTTCCCTACAGCGGGCGATCCGTCCACATTGTCACCCGATGTGACTCCTTCACTCGACTCCTCTATTCAGTTCTTCAAAGCTGTGACCTCATGGGTCCCCACAGGGGGCGAGACATCATTGAAATTCTGGTTCGACTTTTTCGACCGCCGATCGGATGATACGTCCGTGGACGTGGAGCTCGAAAAGCATTTTGGTATTTACTCGTACGACAGCCAGTTGAAGAGCGAAGACTACCTGACTGCTCTGAGTGGTGCTGCCGCCGTGTCGTCTAGTTCGAGCTCTACGCCCGCGACGACGTCAACGTCAACGTCAACTTCGACCAGCCAGACTCAAACCCAGACGGACAACTCGATATCGACCAGCGAAACCTCGAGCGCGACCACGACAGCGTCAACTTCAACGTCGAGCAACCAGATCCAGACGCAGACCCTGACGGAAAACGCGGGTTTAGCTACCGAATCTCCTACCTCGAGTCCGCCCAGCGCGTCTATTTCTTCGACCACTACTCCAGCCTCAACGACGGCTAGCCCGATTGTTACCACTACGTCTGCACCCACCTCTGCTGCCGCAACAACGGAGCCTACTGTGGCCGAACACGATAGCTGCTAAGCGTGTTGATCCTGCTAGTGTTTGCCATCAGTAAAGACGAAATGTTCGTACTCTTGTTGAGAAGAAGCACAACCGGTGCGTATTCAAGCGTAAAACTTTTCAATTGAAGAGTCTTCAATGAAGGCGTTTATAATATCCTGACATAAATGCACTCGAATGCTTGCTCAGAGCCATTTTACATGGAAAGGCGGTCTGCCGGTATTTTCTTTTATCTCTTCTTACTACAAAGGGTTTAAAAACGTTAACACTTTCACTGCTATTTGATGCCTTTCAGTTTAACCTGGATGAATTGCTAGAACTGTTTAATATCTGCCTCTTAACCAGAGGTTTTTTAAGACCTTTATCCTTATAAGCCTTTGCATTTTTGTTAGGTGGTAATTGATTTTAAACTCGCACCAAGTTGTTCCAGGAACAAGTTCAGCTCGGACCTTCTGAAGCAAGGTTGAGATTTTGGAACAAGCCTTGTCAGAAGAAGTGTCAAACCTCTTTGGTTGTGCTAGAAGTACATGTCAGTGAAACCCTCACACAGTTCACAAAGATACGCCTAAACGCGCAATTCTATAATAGCTGAAAATAATCTAGCAATTTATCCGTCATTTATTCAGATTTTATCCAGGTTGTCGTTTCTACCAAAGCTTGTGACCAGTGTAGTGCACCACTCCATCGCAGGTCTCGCAGACGCTTAGCGCTTACTGTACATTACTGTATTATGCGTACGTTTAATAGCGGAATAGTAAACCGGTATCGTGCGTACGTTCAATAGCGGAATAGTAAACCGTATGCACATGTGCATTACTTTCTGTAAATACGAATCAGACCAAACGCGTTCTATCAAATAAAATACGGTGAATAGTAAACCGTATAATGGGAGGACAGCTTGCTGAAGAGAGTATTTCATTCCTGTACGGCACCGGATCCCCTGGGTTGATTGCACGATTGTTATCTGAGGCGATAATCCACAAATTGAGGATACGGGTACAAATGTTGACGTACGTACGTCTGTGATTACTGTTATGTGAAAGTAGTTAATAGAACGCTGATACTTTTCGCGGAAGATGAAAATCAAAAGCTACACAGAAGTTGATAAACAAATAGAGGACTTACGAAAATCAAAGTGCAGTCAGATATGCAAAAATAACATGTCACGTTGTTTAGTAAGTAGTATCGCTTTCATCGCAGTAGTAATATTTGATGCTCTTAACAAACGTTGGAAGGATACTATCCTCCCGGAGCAAAGCAAATGCAACTAGTTTGCTAGAACATGGTTCCGAACGCCAGATCGTCTTTAAACCTGCAACACCTATAATTAACGGGATGATTCAGTAAAATCGTAATGATTGAATGGCTAGCCTGCCGTGTTATCATAGGTTGTAATTCAAAGTACTACGTAGCATGAAATTACTTCCACACTGTACTATTAGTACTGTATTAATATAATTCATGTTTTTCTAAAAACAAATTTAATTATCATCTGTTTTAATGAATAATGCCGTGCTACAGGACGCTCTGGATATTTGGATACTTAATTCGCAGTGTGGATTGGATGTATTTGTACCGGTTTTCATACAAAAGCCAAGTCAGCAATACAAAACTAAGTCAGGTTTACAAACACAAAGTGAGCAGTTTTGGTATCGAGCTAATAATAGGCACCAAGGCATTACACAGGTTTTACACCAGCTTCAAAATACCGGTTTTCTAGTAGGTATGTGGTACAAGCGGATATTCAATACCGGTAGTCATGTGGCTAGATTTTATTTATTGTAGCTGCTCCCTTGTTTTTACGTATTATTATATGGACCACGTTAGTGTTCTTGCAGTGTGCACAAATTGCATAAGTTAGTACAGAAGATAAACGGAAAGCGCCGCGTTGTCTATGATGGAGTGCATGGCAAGGCAAAAGCAGCAAAGTCTTTAAACTGGATTAATTTCTTCTCGTTTATTCGACCATTGGGCGCCTTCCACAAGCGGTATTAAAAAAATTCCATATTTTTTAATCATGAATTTGACGGCCACACACACGCGTAAAAATGCACGATAAAAAATGCAGTCCAAATACCGCCAATCACTACCGCAATAAAATCGTTTTTCCGTCCGGATTGTTTTGTCCAATAACAAAAATGTTACTGAATTCAACTATAGGAAGGTGACTAGGAGACTTTATTCGTGTACAAAAAATAGAAAAGTGAAGTTGAAAGTTCAACATCCAATAGTGCGACTTCAACCTGTTCTTTCAACTCATTGCGATCTTCGCGCCTATTTTGCATTCTTCAAGCAGACCATGAACGAGGGGCCTTTTTAGTGATGTACGTTGCGTTGCGGTCAAGATAACGAGCTCGGACAGAGCTAGAAGACTTGCGTTCAAAGCTGTTTGCTGAAAGGCTACGGTGGGAATGGGCTCGCTCGGTCCGCGTGCGTCATTATGTCACGTTGGATTGTTTGAGATGACCTGAAGATGCTCCTTGGATGGAAACGTGGTAAAACGGATCTGACGCAAACTTCTTATCTATTACCAGTCTTACAAGGTTGGATATGCTCCTATATTGAACCTCGCAATTTTTTCTTACGACATCTAATTGCCTTGCTGTGCTAGGTCGTCTTTCTGTTTGTTATTGGATCGCTTTGCCCCCTTCTAAATCATACCTCGGTATAACCCAAAAGGTGGCCGCCCCGTCAAGTTTAAGCATCATCACCAAATTCTTGGTCTACTGCTGTCCTTTTACGTGGGCAGCATGCAGAACAGGCAACTCTGTCTTCAATTCGGTGCTCCCCCACCCACGGTTTCCAGGGTGATTAATGCTGCCGAGTCAGCTTTATCAACTTCCTTGAAGGAATTTAGACCTGCTCGTATTGTATGGCCCTCTCTCGCCCGCCAACAAGCTTTGTCCCGACTAGTGTCTCTCAAGCAACCACTACTCTCATTCACATGGGGCTTTTTGGATGATAAAAACTACCGAGTAAGTGCTCGGTCAATTGATCTGTTATTTGTTTTAAAATTGGCATGATTATGTTTTCACTACGTTATCGTTTTGGTATTGAAGGTCCAGTCGCCTTCTGAACGACAATTGCAAAACGCGCACTACAACGGTTGGCTCCATAGTATTTTTGTTACTGGCACTCTCTGTTTTTCGGCCGATGGTTGATAGTCTGGGCGAAGCACAACTGCCCAGGTTATTGGAACGATGGGGACACTTGCTTGGCTTTCAGGTAGAAATTATCTGGCCCAATTCTAAACCCTGATAGTCGATTTGGGATTGTGGTGGAAAGTGCCTTCCCCTGTGGGGGTGACATGAAAGGTAGGATTATGACCCCTTTAAAGGAAGGAGATCTCTCTCGTTTGGTGCCGTCCGTTAGAGGGGTGGCCAGTGCGCTTTCGTCGGCGATTACGCCGATCCGCCAGTCAGCTGAGTGGGGAATGGGATCAATCGAGAAGGTGTATCACTCCTTGTTGCTACCGCTGCCGTATGACAGAGACAAACGGCGAGTTCGGCTAAACATCCTCTTTCGCTTGTCAAATTACAGAGTGAGGACAGTTGGTATCAGTGAGATTCGAACGACATTCTTTCACGGGCAAGAAGACATTTATTATGAAGTTACTCAATAACAATTACCTACGAGGAACCAAGGGTTTCTGAGTCTCAGCTTTCTTGGGAATAAGGGCCGAAAGCAGTAGCATGATTTGCTGATGGCGTTCTCGGGTCTCTAACTTCATTCGTTCGTCGAACAGATATCTGTTTTCAGCTGACATGTCGGCTCTCTTGGATTCGGCTCTTTCCTCTCTGGCAGCTATCTGATCTTGAGTAGCTTGCTCGCATTTCAGTCTCTCCTCGTTTTCCTCTCGTCGTATGCGATCTCTTTCCTCTCTATCCAACTTTTCAGCGTCTCGACGCTCTTGACGTTCTTCTCTACGGCGTTTTTCTTCTGTTTCGGCTCTACGATTTGCATCTTCTCTGAAGAAGGCCATCAGATTTGCGATATCACCTCCCGCAGCTTTTTGAGTATCTTCGTTGTTTAGTACGCGCCTCTCCATTTCCTCCATTATCTGTTTGGCGTTAAAACGCTTGGACGCGACGTAGGTACCTGATCCAGAGTGTTCGGACGCAGTCCTCTTGTGACTCGAGAATGAGAACCTCCCTCCCATTTCTACAAAATTGTCACGCAGTACCCGTAGATCTTATCGAGAGGGTGCCTTGTGCCGTTGCGATGGTACCGAGAACGTTCCGATCTGGTTCACTTGTGAAGTTTGTTTCTTCCATTACAGATCGCGTTGTTCGCTGAGCTGCGTCGCTTGTTTTACGGCAGCTATCGGTATCCTCTCTCAGTGCAAACGAGTGGGCTTCGGGGACTTGGGTATCAGGACCGTCGGTAGGTGCGTCCGTAGGGTTAGCACTTGAGCTCCGATTCTCTTTCGCGATCGAGTGAACGTGATCGATCAACTCCTCGTCGTCTCTTTCGTCGTCGCATCCATCATAACCTTCGAACACAGATGTTTTGGCCTCGACGTGTATATGTATCTCTTGCACCAATAGTACTGGTTTCTTCGACTTGGGTACGTCGCCATTAATTCCTGAAGGCTTCGGTTTTAACACAAGTTACGGAATTTGCGCCGTAGATAATCGTAGTCGCGCTCAGGAGAGCCGCGGGGACGATTCACATTGTACTTAAGAGCGACCCGCTCTACATGTCTTTGCCTAGAGGGCGTATTTCGTCTAGCACATTGCGCAGCAGCATTTGCTCCGCGATTGAGAAGTTCTTGTAACCACTTCTGCGACCTCGCTGCTTGGGGAGCGTACGCAAGATAGGTATCGTTAGACTCCATCCCCTCTCAACCGTATATCCTAGCTTCATGCACGTACCCTAGACATCCTGCGCACGGGATATTCTTGTGAAAGCTAAAGGGAGAATGAGGATACATGTACACATGATTTCAAGAAAAATAAAATCTCAAATCGGATCAAATATATTGGTTTTTGTATTAACACCTGCAAGGTATACAACAGAAAACCTCCGGTATAAAGAGAAGATCAGTGACAAGGACTTGGACTTGGCGTCAAACTCGGCGTTCTCACGTGGCCTAGCACAATCACGTAGATGTATGGAAGTCGTTGAGATGTTGCAGATCTCTGTGCTGACATCCCCCCAACCACACAGACAAATAAACCACAACTTGTCGCCATAGCTCACAGTCACCTCCTCCCCGGGGAAGATATCCCGCGTCGATACAGCGACGACTGTCAGCTCAGACCCAGTCTGGACTTCATGGAAACGAGCACTAGGATTGCAGGAGTGGTTGAGAAGCCGGAGCTTACCC